ATATTGTATTGTATATAGAGTAGATCTAACAGTGTGTGGGAATTCACTAATCTGTAAAATACTGATCATTGTCTGGTCAAAGTGTTTATTGGAGAAAGCGTGTGTTTTTCTTACAGATGCAATATGTAGATGTTAAAGATGCATAAAATTGGTAATAGCTGTCATAGTAAACGGAATACCGGAGCTAGAAACGCTATTCTTACTTGCTTTTTGAATCATAAATATGGTGTATGTTGTTTTTAAACTCTTTCCATTTGTATTTCTGTTAGAAGGACAATGAGAGAATCTTGTTGTGTGAAACGAGCGGACACGATGCGAATCAGACTGTCTATGAAATAATGATGAGTTCTATTTTCCGTGTGTCTGCTCCAAGAGGTAGGAATTGTGGAGGAAATCTATTTTATGCCATCATTATTTCATGCTATACATTTTGTGTGTGTGTTTAAAATGCGAACATGAAGATAAAATTCATAAACATATAGACAATTTTGATAACCATGTAACCTTTGTGTGTTCATCCCTTTTGATCTATATGAAACTGAAACTCATCATACTTCTAGAAGAGGAAGGATAAGAAAATGCTTTAGAGTAGGGTATAGGCCATCAGCTACGTAAAAAAGTGTGAGAATAATTCAAAAAGTCTTCCTGATTGATTTCAATGAACATATACGATGAAGGATATATACTTCTATGCAAGTCCTGTACGAGTCACTATTGCTGAAATGTTACATGATTTCGTACTTTTTTTCGTAGGCTAAACTTGCAAGAATAAATTCAATATATGTACACAGTATTGAAAACGATATGTATATTCCGCCTTTCAATTGTTTGCTACGGCATGTCTGGAAAGGAGGTTCTAGCGCTCTTGCACGCAGCAGCGAATCCATCATACCACGCGTTTGGTGGCAACCAGGTCGTGACTCAACAGAGGTATATGTCGTTACGATTTGCTAGGCCCAGACTAGAATCTCTTCGTCATAGTTACATTTACTGTAAAACTTGATTTGTATACATAGCTTTGAATAATTTGTTCCCTTTCAGTAAATGCAACACTTGAAATAATTCTCCTAGTTGCACCAACATAGGCTTTGCAGATAACCATATAATTTCATCAGTCCAAAGAGTCCCACAAGTTGCATTTATGAAGAGAAGCTCACAAATTACAAAAAACATGGCATGGATATTTAATAAATTAATGAAAATTTATGTTAAAATAATTTTGAAAATTTTCATTTCATTTTCTAAGAGTTTTTTTCAATCCATAAAGTAATATAAAAAATTACAAAGTAACTTCAATTGATTTTTCTTTTTAATTTTTCATGTAATTTTCTATGATAATTTGTGAAATCATAAATTACATGAAAGTAGTTACAGAATTTTTTTTATAGATCTTTGGATGAAAAAACTATAAAAAAATAATTATTTGATTTCAAGAAAAAAATCAACTAAAGTTAGTTTGTAAATTTTTGACATTACTATATGGATTGAAAAAAGCTCTTATGTAATTAATTTCAAGATTATTTAAACACAAAATTTTCATTAATTTATTAAATATACATGCTATGCTTTTTGTACTTTGTGAGCCTCTCTTCATAAATGCAACTTGTGGGACTCTTTGGACTGATGAAATTATATGGTTATCTGCAAAGCCTATGTTGGTGCAACTAGGAGAATAATTTCAAGTGTTGCATTTACTGGAAGGGAACAAATTATTCAAAGCTATATATACAAATCAAGTTTTGAAATCAATGTAACTATGACGAAGAGATTCTAGTCTGGGCTTAGCAAATCGTAACGACATATACCTCTGTTGAGTCACGACCTCGGGAGAGAAGCAATAATCTGATTCTAAATCTCTTGAAGCAACACGTTGCGGACCAACGTGTGGAAGTCGAGCTTCGGAAATGTTGAAGGCTTGCGTCATCATCTTCGTGCTTGGAGAAAAATCAACTATGACCTTAGGTATGCATGAGGGAAGGATAAATAGTAGACATAACGCTTCAATGTTCGATTCTCTATCAAAAGCAGAGTTTTTTTTTCTGATGTTGTTCAAAAAGGGAATGCGCACGACGAATAAGATCTTCATCACTAGTTCTTAGCTCAACTCAACAAGTGAAAAAAAAACGAGTCCAAAAACGGACGCAGTGATCAAATCAACAAGAAGTAAGAAGAGTGAAAGATTACCAGACTCTTAAAATTTCAAAGCCAAATTCTATCATTGAGCTTGAACATCACAGTGCAAGGACAAAAAATAACTAATGTTGTGACTTCATTCGTCACGAGAAAAGTCAGAATGCATCAAACACAAATTATCTACACAAAATAAGCATGCGCGCCAATACCAAAATATACATGATTCATCATTGCAGTTTACGTGCATGAAACACAATAATAATAATAATAATAATAAAACACACACACCCCGATACTAAATATACGCGATTCATCATTGCAGATTAGGTACATGAAAATACACAGATTTTATTCAAGAAAAACATTTTAGTGTCATCAACTGTTTTTGCGAGCTCTCCTATATAGTGACAGTTTATTAAGCTTCACTAACTTTGATAAAATTGAACTGAGTTATCCAAAGACCCGAGTTAATTTTTTTTAAATTATAATATATACATTATAGCTAAATATGGTAAGTGTTTGTTGGATTTATAAAATAATGAAGTTATAGATTTTTTCTTTACACTAGATATTATTGAAAATTTTCGTAATTTTTTTGTGATTATGTTGAAATTGACAAATTTTTTGAATGACTATTGGAAAATTGTGATGGAAAGAAACCTCAAAAACATGATCTATACAAGAGGTTTTGAAATTTTTCATTTTAAATGGCTAGATTTTTTATGAGATATCTACGTTGAATGCAAAATTATAATCTAGACATCCGATTAAAATAATTGCAGGAATAATAATTATTAAAATATTAAAAATTGCCACTATAAAACTTAAAAATTAAAAAAATTAAAAAACATTTTACTTGATGAAAATAGTCTGAGTACAAAGTGATGCCTGAATTTGATGTGAAAAATCAAAATTTCAAGATTGAATATCATGAACTTAGTATAATAACTATCAATTTTGTTAATGAACTTTTATTTGCATAGAATTGCTAGAAAATGAAGTTTGGATGATGAAACATGTTAATTTGAAGTTTTATACTGATTTAAATCACGGTGGAAGAGTCATAGTAGAACTGGTGTATGGAGAGCTTTATATTTTATTGTGATACATTTGAAATTCAGCAAATTTTTTGAGATATCTATCAATCCAAATAGAAATTTTTTTGCTAAAACTTTTAGTGAACGGTTCAAATTTTATAAAAAAGATTTTCAACAATCTGAAATAACTAAATGGAGAAAAAATGAGTGGATAATTGGAATGCAACAACTCATTCCAAAGATCTGGAGAAGCACTTTTAACTTATGAGCACAGGAGCTCTACGAGTGGAGCGATGTCAATGTATTACCAGATAAACCTCCTCATAAAAGCTGGCAATACTCTAGTGTTCAATTCTGATAATGTAGTCAAAGTATTTGTATGTTATAATGTTCCTATCACCAATGGATGGCACCAGTTTAAGCATATGATAGAAGAAAGCTGTTAATTGCTGCAAAATATAATAATCAATAGAAGAGCTACTGGTGTACAACTAAAGCTTAAGAACTCAGTACTCCATGGAGTAAGAAAACTCCACACACATGTGTAACTTCCTAACTATATTACACTAGCTGAGAAATCAAACACAAGTTGCAGAAGTTCGGGTTACACCATATTCAAGACGTTACATAATACATTTCAAAGAGAGTAATGGCATGCATTTATCTCTTTGATATGTATTATGTAACGTAATTTAATTATAGTATATGTCCTCATGATAATGAAGAACCAAGATGTAAAGCTGAATGAACATATGAACATAGGAGTTAAATTTTATGATGATATATTGTCCATGGGATGTATTGTAGAAAAAGTCCACGATAGAACTTATACTGAAGGGATTTGTTTGCATCAATCATGTAAAGTGTTACCACGTTCACTGGATGACGTTAGCCTGACCTCAGATGTTCTCTTCTTCTTGAAAGAATAGTTAGAATAGTTAGATCTGTGTAGTTTTTTGGGATGAGGATATGTTTGACCGCTCTTATTCTGGCTGAACAACATGAGCTTCAAGTCCGGGGCGTCGGAGAACATCTTCCTCCTGTGCAAGATTGATCCGACTCTAATGTTTCCAATTATAGATAAGACGGGTAGAGATGTCGTACTCAAGTGTACGCTCGGAACAGCTGAAGACGCGCGAAAATCATACAGGCCTTGATATCCACATTGCATGTCCACAACGGCGCCCTCTCGCGCAGGCCCTATCTTGGAAGACACAGTAAGAAGAACAGGCAGTGGACTCTCAGCAACACGGGACGGCGTAGAGGGCAGCCACGGAGTACTGTGTTGACCATGGCACCGGGTAGCAGTGCTCTTGTGAATTCCCGCTTTTCTTTCCCTCTTGTGGCTGGCCTAATCTTATTCCTTTGGTCTCATCCACTTGTGACTTGATGGGTCTTCCCATCCTCTAAGCTGTATTTACTTCATTGTGGCGCTCTTAGATTGCTGCTATGTGAGGCATCTTTCACGTCATGTGAGCTTCTTGCTGCATCTTGTATCGCATGAAAATGAAATCATTTGGTGATGCACTTAGGGTGTTCGAAGGAGAGAGAACACAGTAAAATTGCAGAATCGAAGGATGAAACCGGTAACATAGGGCTAGGCCCCAAGAGCATCACAATAGGAAACATGTCCTACTGCGCGTATTGATTTTGAAAAACATTGAACAATTTGGAACAACATTTACCCTTCCCAGAAGCAAGTAAACCAAATGTAGTTAACATCTCGAGAAGGTGCTTGCGTTGGCTTCTGGAAATATGTTGGGGAGCGTGAAGAGAGGGTCGAGTGGTCGGAGGGTCGGCGAATGAAGACATCTTCAATCGCCGTGTCGGCGAGCTTTGTTCATGCTGTATGCTGCAAACTGTGGGGCATGGGCCAAGAATATGAACACGAGATCGGAAGTAGCTCTGTCAGCTCTGCCGCTGTGCGAGTGTGCTTTTACCACGATTAACACGTTTTGTCTGGGTGAGTTCATTTTCATGCATCGGACGTGAAAGCAAGCGGGTAAAAGTGCACATCTCTTTAAGTCGACGAGAGCAAACGGTTTGTCACAAACACACAAGCTTTCGTCCCATCGCTCTCTGTCGGCGACTCGGCGCCACGGAAGGAGAAGAGGAAGAACCCTTTAAGAACCTCAGAGCACCATTCTGGGTCTCTTCCCTCCACATCGCTCGCTGCTCCAGCAAAATCTTCAGAGCATCAATGTTCTGGCTTCTCTCTGTCTGCCTCTGATTTCGCGTACTCGTCATCGCCTTGCTGATGAAAATGTCCGCTCCTATGAATATACTCGACAGGAGTCGCTGCGAAAATTCCTTGCGGCTTGGCCTTGCTTCGGAATTTTGCTGAGAGTTGTCGACCTGGTACTTACATGCTTCAGCAGGACGAGAAAGACCAGTGCCTGCGCTTTCTACTCTGATCTTCGACGGACGAGGGAGTTTCAGAGTCCGATGAACTGGGGTCAATGTGGACATCTGAGGAAAGAGAATCATGAATAGCTGCGAGCGACTCGGTCAAAACTTGACTGGGCAGTGGTTGTTCTTTCATTGTTGAAGGACGTGCTGTAGATAATCAGCTAGCTGCCTCATTGTTCATTCAAATTTAGTCAACCGCGACCAATAACTATCTGACTCTACCTCGAAAATCAAAACGGGAGCAGCAGGCACGACCCGAGTTTAATTCATCCAAGAACGAAGAGAGTTGGATCCAATGGCCGAAAGACTGGTAGCGGATTACCGTAGAATCGCCGTGAAGGGCATCACCGCACTGGAGCAGGCCGGGCGCCATACAATTCGAGTATTTGCTCAGGTTAGTCTCCTTCAAAAACCGTTCTCTGCATTTAATTTTTTCCTCCCCTCCGTTTGGAATTGGCGCCCGGATTGCAAGCGATTTCACAAACGAGAAGCACTTGAGAGACGGGTATCATTATAGGGGCTCAATAGGTTGTCGCATTGTACGCTATATGTCTCTGAAATCGACTTATGACTTCTGTGTACTATCTACCTCCGAAATTATCTTTGCCGTTTTTTTATGAAACGGTGGAGAAATTAGTGCTGAATCAAAGACGTTACAATTTCTTCAGCCTACGGGCATGAAATGCCGTTTAGTTGATGAGGGCATAAAATGTTTAGGCCCGTCACTCTTTCCACAGACTGAAATGTGTTGTATTAGAGCGTGGCTCTGAAAGGAGTCTAACACAATTAAACGACTCACCCTGGGTAATGTCATTTGTGTCAGATCGAAGGACTCTGCAAGCAGAGTATGGCTACGCAAGGCGAGGCCGTTTGTTGCTACATCTTCGTGGAGGATGCATGCGAAACAGGATGTGCCACAGCATGCGAGAGGGCAAGCCGGAGTGCCAATTTCCCTTCTGCGCAGCAAGTGAGCTTTCATTTTTATATGCCCTGGAAGTGCATTAAAATTGCCTACTCTGTGGATCTAATGAGAAGACCTGACCCATTTAGGTCTTCTTTGTAGGTCTTGTTGTCTGGTATTGAGTTTGGATTTTTTCCGATAATCGTGTTTGTACTCGTCTACTCAACACTTTTCAGTCTTGGCCCAGCCAGTCATGGGAGGCAGGTGACTAGCAAAGGATCTGGCGTTGCTCACCACATCGTCGCTTTGTGAATGCAGGACTGCAGAGAAGCTTGCCTGCAGGCGTGCACACGGCCGGATCCATCTGGAAGGTTCAGCACCATCGTCATAAACAATTAGCCCGCTCATGTCCGGCAATTGTTTCTTTCAATCGAGCAGGGAAAGAGGAGCAGCCGAGACGACAATCTTCTGATTTGAACTCTAGTGATTTTTTTCAGTTATTGAAAAACCATCAAATGACGTTTTCGACAGCTATGTGGGCTCTTTTGTGATTCAGAGTTCGAGTAGTACGACCTAAGCATTGTCCGGACAACGAATTCGGATGTGGGTTCTCGTGAAATTCGAGCAAATGAGATCGCGCTTCCTAGGTAGGTTTGTACATAGATCATGAGAATTTGACGAATTTTCGATTTAGGTGAAGTCAGGTTGGTTGTGAAGTTAGGTGTAGAAAACTTTAGGTCGGAGGCCGTGTACTATAAGAAATTGCACACTTCGGTGTTTGGACCTCAGACGATCTCCTAAGCGATTAGCCTGTGGCAGATGAGACGAAGAATCAAAGATGGCTTTGTTGATTTGGACGTGTCTTCACCGCATGCGATTGTACCTTGACACTTCAATTGTTTTGATAAAGGATGTTATGTCGACTTTAGGAAATTGTATCTGTTGGCATTTTCACAACAAAATGTTTTTTCCCTTCTTTGACGCGAATTTCCTTCACAAGAAAAAAAATCAGACCATCGTCCGAGGTGTTCGTGGATTACTCGCCAACTTTCTGCGAAGTCTATCAAACGGACGGAGAAAGGCTGGTCAAGAACAACACGTGCACTACTGTCCCTGAAGTTGGACACATGGCTTGAACCCTGTCACATTTATGAGCTGCGCAAGAACGAAGACGCCTTTGACTGAGATTTAGTTTCCCTCGAAATAGAAGACTTGTGAAGGGCTACTCAAAAACAAATTAATGAAAAAAACGAACATTAACACTCACAGTATGCTCCGGAAATGATCATGGATGAATGAGTTCACTCTGAAACTGTCAACCACATTTCACGTAGGTGAACCAACTGCCGCCAAATGAAACTGAGATACAAACGCGACAAAGGTTGTGAAAACCTGGAATGTCGCACTGTGATGGAAAACAAGTCGCAGATGGATGAAACCAAACGGGAAGAAAAAGCTAAGTTTCAAACCACCTCAATAAGTCCTAAAGATCGGGTTTTTGAGATTATCAAGTGATCAGAGCATATCTTAGAGATGAAAGATGGAATGGATCTTCCCATCTTTCTTGCTAATCTACTTTGTCCTTGTCCTCGTTATTTTGAACAATATAAATGTTGGTTCCTACGACTGGGCCAAAAAACAACTCATCGCTTCAATCATCGTGGAACCTGTAGCTAGAACTTAATGTATCTCAAAGCAAACGACATCCGCCTCGGTGCCTAGCTGCCTTGAAGTGTGCAAAGGCAGTTTCCGCACGTAACTGCTAAATTCGGGAAGAGATTTGACTCGAGTCCGTTCTCGTACATGGAATTTCTTGTCAAGGGAACAAGCCCACTGGCAACGATCGATATTCTAAACTGTGTAGGAGAAGAACAAGGATTCGGCCAAAATTAGAACAAGGTGAAAGGATGCTGCCAAATAAGGTGTAAGGGGTGGAGGAGCCAGAGACATCCATCACAATAAAGAATTCGAAGGTCTAGTGCCAAATAAAGGACATGTTAGAACCACGAGAGTTTCAGACTTTTAATGACGAGAAAGAAAAGCCGGTAGGACGCGGGAGAAGGAGGAGCATGAATGGTTCTGGAAATGAGATTTTGGGAAGTAGGACACAAACAAGGAAGATCAGCTATTCATCACAAGAATTGAGACGGTTACCAACAAGATAAAGCTTGAAAGATGGAGGGAGAATAATTGCGGCAAAGGATGAACTGGTGCGAATATTAGCCTCCACAGAAAGTGGATGTAGATGATATCGTGGACAGGCCACTGCTTCCCCGTAAGCTGTGCCTCACTTGTGGTGACATCATTAACTGGATTTGGATAGGGTAATGAGCTGATTTATCTACTGAAGCAAAGCAAAGTGCAAGGCCTTGTTTTGTCTGTTCTGCTCAGAACGGCGGCGGTAAACTGACGGTGAAGTCTTTTTAGGAGACAAAATCCGATCACCTCAGAGAAATGGGGAACTCTGAACCAGATGCCAACTCTGAGACCTCTTGTGAGCGTTCTTTGCCAATAAAAGGGTGGATTTCAGTTTCAGCGCTGAGACGCTAGGCACCAGCTGCACACCTGCAGCAGCAGGAGTTTGTTAATGACATAAAGACTTGTGCTGCACAAGTCTTTGTCCCCGTGGAATCAACTAGGCTTGGCCACGGTCCGGTCCGGACTGACGGTTAACCGGTTAACCGTCGGTCCGGTTTAGCCTGTCCCAAATTTCTCTGGGACCGGTTAACCGGTCCAGAGAAAATTTGTCACCACGCTTCTGAGAAAATTCTTCAGCGCTTCTGCACCAGTCGGTCCAACATTGAGCACACAAATATTTGTCTTCTCCAAGGCTTCTTGTCCTTGCTCCTTCCATATTCTGCACCGAACGCATCCCCAATGAGTCAACACAGCGTGTCCACGAATCCAATTAAATAATGTAAATCAGATGAATGGAAATTGAACACGACGGAGGATAACGCATTCATATGATCGGATCATTCACACAAGATTCAAATCCCAATTCTCAATTTTCGTGCCAGAATCAGATCGGACATATGTATAAAAACTCACCGCAGTTGACGATCATATTTCTTATTACGCTGCGCCATGGCCTGAACGGCAGGCGTAGCTCCCTTTTCTAAACACCTCCTCTTCGCAGCGTTCTCCATTAAGTCCAGCCTGACCACAGCTTCCTCGCCTGTTCTCACCCGCATTCATGCAATCGTTCAATTCCACTTCCCTCCTCTTCCCTTTCCACTCCTCACAAGCACTCCTCTCTCTCTATCTCACTCTCATTCCCTCTCTGCCCAGCCAGGCGGACACTGATGAGCTCGTTTACGTAAGGAATTTTTAACATCAAGCCTTCTATATCAAATTTATCACTTTTAAACTATCGGTTAATCGTTAACCGGACCACGGCCAAGCCTGGACCGGTTAAAGTATCGGTTAACCGGACCGTGGCCAAGCCTAGAATCAACAGAGGCATCAGCTGCACCAGGACTGTTTTGGCTAAGTGTGTCGAGTCAGCGTCGGTCTCCTTCGCCGGCAACTCCCGTCTACCTCGCGACAGATGGACAGAATCTCGCTAGTAACTTGTCGCTCCTGTCGTCGCGCCTTCAGTTAGTTCTGCAAACTACTGCAGCTGGTCCTCTGAACTCGGTTTCCTCAACCTTTCTCTTCTACACTGAAAGCAGTCACAGATTACAATCCATTGACCGGTCGGTGAGAGCTGCCTGGAACACCTGGAAATTGATAGGATAATTGTGTTATCTTAGATCGATGGCCCTGCTGGTATTGTCAGTCAAGATGACACTTGTATAGCTTTAAACTTCGGTGCAACGCTCCGGCTACAGCTGGAGATTCATAGGTAAAATGTGTAACAATCTACCTCTCCATGTGGTTGAAATATCCGTTCCCAATCAGGACAAAGCTGCGCAACTCGCTATAAAGTGGCCAAAGAATGGGACTCCATTACAAGCCTGGAGATATGGCTAAGCGCTCGAAAATACTAATTTTATGTGTTAGTAAATCAAGTAACTCCACACACTTGGATTCGTGATTTGTCAAGTACGATTAGACCGGAGCAGAGCACATGGGACCTTGTTATCGTTCGAAATACAGAAGTACGATAAGTGAACACGTGGCGAAGTAAGCAAAGTGAGCAAAGTAGGAAAAGAACCTAACCTCGCTCGGTTCGAAATGGATATGAACAAACCTTTTGAGATTTAAGTTAAATAGTTGTCAATGGTAAATGCAGATGTTTATCTACGGCATTGTAATATCTTCAGCTTCTCTTCTATCGGCTGGGATGTGTACAATAGTACTATATGAAACCGTTCAAAAATTAATCAAACGCTCGACAGTTTATAGATACTGAAGTGTATATTTTCAAAGTGTAAAGGTTCAGATACTAGAAAGCCACATGGAGAACAATGTGGTTGATTGTGCAAGATCACACGGAAACTGTCATGCATGAACGAGCAACATGAAGAGCCTATATGTAGGCTTATGAGCAGTGTATCTTCTTCTATCGTCATTGTGGCATACAAAATCATAGAAGTTCAGAAACAAAATGTCTGTGTTTTCTAAATGAAGTGGGAATAGTAAGATTGCATAAAGAATGGGAAAATTCCATTAAGCCGCACGATGATCCATCCAAACATGGGCCAACTCCCAATAGCATCACAACTGTCAAGTGTCCCATGTCTCCTGAGATGTTCAATCAATCTAGATAAGCCACACCGTTTTTATGTAGATAGACGGGTCTACAACCAAGAGAGAAATCATTTAGAGACAGTGATCCATGTAGGGCTATTGAAACTATCTGACTTAAAAAATTTACACAGTAATCTAAATAAACTACTTATAGACATGTCGTCTAGTACGGTAGAATCTTACGCAGTGCTCAATAACATGTAGAAGTGGGTGTTTATGGCTCAATATATTTCAGGTCAAGAGTAACTTCAAATCTAGAGTAACATACCCAAAGTCTTGGTTGTTAAGGATCCATTCGCCACATCCAAGATTATCATTTATTTAAAACTATGCTATGTCTTCCTACAGGTTATCACTGGAGGAAGATAACTTTTCGCGTTATCTATCTAAGACCACATCACTTATGAAAGCATGGGTAGCCAGCTCTAAATTTCGAATGTGTAAGGTATCACGTTAGCACTTGCTGCATCTAAATTGACACCACACACAAAACTACAAATTGGAATGATTACTGCAGAAGCTAGTCAGAGTTCAATATTCAAAAACTGAAGATCGAGAAATTGAGTATCGAGACTAACAACAACATCGTAATTTCATTATGAAAGTTACCTATAATTATAAGCGGATAAATCATTCTGAATGACTTCAAGATATTCACATATGGGTCTCGATGAAAATTGTTCTGGATCTGGATCTAAAGTTATCGATTTTCAACGAAGGACATGGGTCTCATCGATCGCCTTCGCACACGTCGACGTTCATGTCATCTCTTGGTAAGGGTATAAAATACAAACAACCAACTACGAGATTGACGGTCTTCAATATATAATAGAGAGACTATGACGCCCTGTGCCGGACTCTCCAATGATTATAAGTCAAATATGTTATGCTTGCGAGGTCCTTCATCACAAAACATCATCTCTGCAATTTGGATGAACTTCTTTATCTTTTGCGCTTCTCTTCGTTGACATAATTGCAGGCCAATCTTGTGATATCGAAGTTATGTCGTCTGCTGCTGTATGAGTTCTTCCGGAGTTAACCTTTCACTCACGAACTCCTCATCTGACAGCTGTGATCGAGACTACTTAGTAAATAGTAGTCACAACTGGCATAAGAGTTCGCTCAGCTTTCCGATTCATACCCTTCGGTTTGGATATTCAACCTGCAGAGAGTAGCGCGACTTCAATTGAAGTGTCCACTCCAAATTTCTCAGCCGACTTTTATAGTTAGCAGTAGAATTGACCACAATGGGTTCCCTTCGTATCTAAGGTACTGAAACAAACTCACGATTACAAGTCAGAAATTTATTTTATTCAACGGATCGTCTACTGGATCAGAGTTGACACTGTACGGTACGAATATGGACTTAGTTTCGATGATACGGAGACTAAGGCTTTTGGAATCATATGACACGTTCTGGTGTGCAGTACACATTTTCCAACTGTAATGACAAAAGGTCGTAGGTTGGCTGTAGTTTACAAACTAAAAAAGAAATCCGAGAGCCAGTTTTCGCTGGTTTTTAAACGCTATTCCGAGGATAGTAGGGAATCACTGACAAAGAGTCACTTTCAGCACACTCGAGCACTTAGTGGCGCCTGATGCTGTTAATTGTTCAACGAAACCGACTTACTTGACTTCGCTCACGAAAGGTCGTGAGAAATGGTCGGGTGGAACATGCACTGCTCAGTAGATATCCGCTCACAGGTACTCCTTGTGTCATAAAGAAACTAGGTCTCAAGATCATTGGCGTTTCCAAGGAGAAGAGACCTCTTCAAATCTGATTCTGTCCCACCATACGTAACGAAAATACATGGAGCCAATGTCAGCCCTCGTTGGAAAGCAGTCTTTTTAGAAAGTACAGTACTTGTAATGCAAGGTTCAGACTGTACATGAATGTTGTCAGCTACCGACAGATCTGCAAGCTTAGGACTTTCACATGTTGGTAGGAGTTGATGTGTACGTGAGAAGTGACCCCAGGGTTACAATGCGGCTGGTCGATTGTCATGATTCCTCTATGTTGTATCTGTTTCTGATCAAAAGGATTCAATCCAAGTACAGCTTGTACGTGTTACAGCTGAGCAGCATCTCACATGTCAGCTATGCGAAAGGGGATAAGTGTCTAATCAGCAGACGTTCACCATGTGACAGTGAGCGTGTCATCAGTTGTATCCTTTTGATGCTCTTACAATCTGCCCGAGAGCCTCTGGCTTCATCAAGTCTCAGACACTGAGTTTGTACATATTACCGAGATTTTAAGCTTGACGTCTACATGCACTACACATGAACTAATTTCTCAAATGTCAGGAAGGATATTTGGGTGACATCGAGTTCGAACTTAAACGAAAGAAAGAATGCGAGTGAGGACCTTTCAGTCCTTTGAAGATCCCGAGTCAACCAGTTGATACTGGTCCGATAAAGTGATTCATTGGCCCCATATCGTCTGTAATTGATATAGCGTTGTTACAGAACCTAGAAACTCAAAATTCGATATTGCATGAGTATATTCACTTTTCTTTGTTACTCATTTGAACTATACAGAGCTCCGTGTTCACCGTTAGCGATAAGACTCAGGAGTTGGATGCTGCCTTCAGGATATCACTGCACAGCTTGCAAGATGGTCGATTAATATCATCGTTGAAGTTGCTTGCTACTTCAATCCAGAAGCCTTGGATTTACAAATTTGTCGCAAACCCATAACAAAAACCATGGACAGCATGTAGCAGTTACTTCTTGAATTTGGAGGAGGGGCCATACTACTGGAATTGGATTGCCTCCAGATATTGAAAACCTAGAGTAAGTCAGAGTGCTGTCTTTGAGATATCATGAAGTATTTTGGTGAAACAAAGAGACTTGCTAGAATCTGGAGTTACCGTTGATTGCTCTAGCTAATTTTTCTTAAGGACTCCTTGAACATATAAAGTACGATGCGCTCAAATTTAGACACTTGGCGATAACAGTTCAAGTGATCATTCCATTAACCATAGGAATACCCATCTCGCAGAAATCCACTCGGTATTCCTGCAGAGTTGGGGACATAGCATATAGAGCACTTCGACTCTTTCCTGCTGGCGTTGAACCGACTAGCACCGTGACTCTATCTCACTTTAACTGGGAATTATTGCTCAAGGGCTTGGAAGAAAGAGTACAAACCTCATGGTTGTCGTGTACCGCGAACTCTGGATTTAGTGTTATGTTGGTTCTACATTTAGAAACTGAACCCTAGGATTTCGTTCGTACGTGTAATTTGTTTACGTTGCAACATGGTCTGCCCACTTCCGGTTAATGATAGGATTATACAACTCATCTGCAGTCCATTAGCCACTACCCAGCAAGTGAAATCTTTGCTCTTCTACTGAGCAACATGAAACATCGCCACGCTATTTTTGCATTCGGATTCGAAATCCAGCTGTGTTTTGAAGAACTGTGTGGGAAGAAATTGGGCAACCTTGATTCAAGAAAGTCCTGATCGTCGGATGAGTGGTATGCACAACAAGCACTGCTGCTACATTTATTGGGTATAATGCAATGAGATTTAAAGAGCAGCTTCTCCTCAGGTGTTATCATTTGCGGTACTTCTGCGCCGTTTCGTAGTTGTCATTTCTTGAGAATCTGGAGGTCCAAGTACAAATTCCAGGGTTCAGATACTCCGACGTTGATCTACAAGCATTGGTTCCATCTTCCGTGGACCACGATCCTGCTCCCACCTTTCCTATTTCCGAATGCATCGAAGTCGCTTCTTCCAAATATATCATTAAGAGGACCTACGTCTGTGTCTAAAATGTGCAACAATTTCTACAAAAATGGAGTGTTTAAAGCATGTGTGCCAACGAGAATATATACACAAACGATATGATGGGATTGGGGAACAGAAGATATACCTGGACATGAGTCAGCTGTGAAATCAGCTGGAATTGTTGGATCACGTGAATGCTCCGTAAAAGTCACACCTGCTTCTGTATCTGTATATACCCATTCGACATTCTCATGGCCAGACATGTCAAGGTCCGGGAATAGGTCTTGTTTGAGCAGCATTTCGACGTCGAACTCGAGATCCGGAGATGGGGCTCTTCACCAAAAACGGTCCGCATGTAAGCAAGGGTTGGCTACGTGGTAGATGGTTTAGACTTCAAGTCCTAGTGCTTTAAAGAATGAGTGATAGATATTCTAATCTCAAAGAAACTAATGAGTCCACAATATGTTGATATCGGTTTTCCAAGGACAAAGTCTTGTATCCTGCATTAGATGCTTCTAAGAGATTACTCAAAGATTGTGACAAACTAGCCTACTGCTTTTACGACCCTGTAGACAGTACCTCGACTGTGAGTGATGGATGGTCGAGACACAGGACCCACGGCCGCAGTAAGCTTCAGACTCCGTCATCATTCTCTGCATAACAGTTGCAGTTCCCTGGTGAGATTTGATATTCCATACTTCCTCTGCCCCGAAGTCATATGTTTGACAGCACTCTACACAAACTACTGATCTTTTTTAGGACGAAGAGACATAATTTGGAGAATGTGATTGTTTCCTTTGAATACCGTGTTGCAATACTGTCCAGTATATTTCAAGGTGGAACTCGTTGAGGCAGGAGAACTCTTTCGAGATACGAAATCAGTTCTAATTTCGCTTTCAGGTTCTTTTTTGGTTCTTGATGTCCTATCCGAAGGAAACGAAACACTTCCGGAAGCAGCTAACTGCTCTTGAGACAGGGGAGCAGTTGTGCCATTCGAATGTCTTTCTTCACTGGAGACAGGATCTCGTTCTTCTGACGTACGTCTAGGAGTAGCTTCCGTAACCTGCACATATGAGCCCTCAAGTTCTATGGCTTTTTGGTGACCTTCCTGCTGTACCTTCAATAGATTCTTCTTCGATTCCTGGTTGTCGCTCGCTGGTCCATTTGCATCACCCAGATTTAGTTGATCGTTTGTACACGCATCCGCCATTTTTTCTGTAGATACGGACGCATCGCATCTATAGGATGTATGCTGATTCCTAATCGTGAGATCCTTGATTTCCTGGCGTTTTGATTTCATCTTAGATTTCTTGGTTTTGAATTGTTCGCTAGTATGTGACACCTTCATTCCGATCGACTTCAACAAATAAAGAGGCTCTTGCGAACTGGAGTTGGAAATGCCTTTTCCAACAAACTGATCAACAAACTGCACTTCACCCTGTACGTCAAGAGTACATGTTGATTGATCACGCGTCTGAATCAAGTCGCTGGTCGACGTATACTTGGACAAACTTGTCAAATCTGCAAAGGTATCCTGTTAGTCTAACGGTTTGTATTGAGGAAGAATTTTGCAAGTCATGGACTACCTGACTCACTCATGTCCGCCGTTGAAAGAGACTCACAATTCCTTAAACGAGAATGCTTAGAGATGTAATTGAAGGTTCGAAGGTTGTCAAAGAAACCATCATCGTCTAACTGGTAGAACTAACTGGCATTAGTCAAGTTTGATCACGTCATTAATACTTACCGATATGAACGACGGAAAACTTCATCTGCCGATTCTGAAGTACATTGTTACTCTTTATGATATTCTCCAACTGGACTTGTAACTTGGCACTCCTGCAAGTTTAATCTCACGTTAGTAGACCACTGTAGTTAAAATGACAACGTTAACGTGTTGAATAAAATAGTAAGTATGTAAGCTCAAAGTACCCGACTTCACTTATTACAAACGTGAGACGGACAAGGTTTGGCAGTTTTAGATACTTCGTCTAATCTTATCCATCTAAATCTTACCTCCGAAGCTCCTCAGAAGTACTTAGCACGAGCTTCTTACAAGCTTCTGCGTAACTTGTGACGTTGTTTCTAGCCTGGAGGAGTCAGCATTATGTCATGAAACATCGGACGTAACCGCTGCGAGCAACTGGGTTTAGGTGCACCGAAAGGATACACTAATGTAACGCCAATATTTGGATCAAACAAATGGAACCGATTCTTGAAAGACTGATTTGAAATAGCAGATAAATGCTGAAGTTTGACAAAACTGTATAGATTCTTGTATTGCTCACTGTTTCAAGACTATCATGGAGGCTGTTTATCGTATCTTGCGCTTCTGAAAGGTTCCTACGAGTACTCTCAAGCAGATCCTCTTGCTGCTTCAATCGCTCCTGGGATTTCAGCTCTAAAATTCCCATGGCCCTGACTTGAGTCTCCAGCATCTACGGCATATTCAAGGACATTTGAAGTGTTTTAATGAGTAAAACCGAGTAATATGGCTAAATTATAATGGCCTGGGGTACTATAAGTTAGACCATAAGCTGGGTTAACAGCATGTGGTGTATCTTAAATGTAAAAGACGTACTGTAGATTGCTGTTATGTTGAAGAAGTACCAAACTTTCCCTGAGAACGAATATTAGGGCACGTGAATACAAATCCAATTGAGTGTTCTTTCTTAGTTAAAGATACCCAGTATCCAAGGATAGGGCCTATTAGTCATAGAGTTGGAAAGAATCAGTTAATCAGAATACTGAGGTGTTCAATTTAGAAAGCCCAGTTCTTAATGTCAAGAATAACCGTACCTGTAGTTTTTTTCAACACGAGTCATGTGTGGACCTAGCTAACGGAAAAGTTTGTCTACATTCACACCTCACATTAACCCCCTCAAATACGACGAGCCTGCTTTGTTCACATGATTCATAACATGCTCCATAGGATTCATACCATCTATTGCAAAAGCCTTGAACGCGATATGATAAAATGAAAGTTTAGATTTACTTAAAATAAATGTGACAATATTTTATCTAAAAAAATACTTTGAAGCTAGATATGGTATCACAGTTAACCAGTATGTCCGCATCTAGACATACTTAGCAGTTTCAGCTTGATAACGATAAATCACACACAAGTATCGTCATACCTGAACCTTCGAAGATAGTCTTGAATTTGTCGATTCTTTCACCTCAAGCATTGTTTGAGCGTAAGTTTGTCAAGGAGTTCGCTTTACTTGCCTTCCACCACACGAGAAATCTATCTCATTCTAGTACCACCAGCCTATTATCGTCCTTGGTAAAGGACTGCAAGGCCTACCTTTATTTCATTATGCTGAAATGAGTCAGAAGAAAACTTATGCATTCAGTGGATATCAAAGACAGCTGCTCCTTCAGGTGGTGGTCCCTTCGGTGAAGTTCAAGTTTCTGTTCCAACTTCTGGATGGCCAAGTCCTTGGCGAGTTGAATTTTAAGCCCATCGTCCAGCCTCTTCTGCAAAACCCTTACTCTATCTGTCCACAAGGAAGACTGTAAGGCATTTGCTTTCACATTTTGAAACGAAAGAACTGAAATTTATTTTTAAATAAATAAATATTTATATTTATATTTACTTTCAATACGGAGTTATCACAGCTGCACCCATCGCGACTACAGCAAGAATCGTCTATTTCCAGCATCCTTGGATGGATAGTAAATCGTTACCAAGAAGTTTATTGTCAAGCGACGTAGTACTCTCAAGTTTTGCTTGAAGACGCGTCACTAGATTGTTCAAACACAGATTTGTCAAGCGTCCAGAATTAGCTGAGTTGTGTCCTTGCCTTGAAAACTTAGAGCTCAGTTGTAGGTTGCATACATTGCACTTACAATGTTCCTCTCTCTCTTGAACAATTCTATGAGCTTCATGCACCGACCGTTTGAGTGCGATGAACTCGTTTTCCGCTGATTCTATTAGTCCACCCTGCCTTCTTAGTTTGTCCAGAGCGTCAGCAAGCTCTTTGGACCTTTCTTGTAATCTTAGCTGGAGTTGAGAATTATCAACCTTTACAAAGCGTCAGACGAGGCTTGAGTTGGCGAAAATGTAGACTACTGTCAAAGCTAATAAATCCAAATAATTATCAATGAAGAAATTCAATTTTGCTGAACGATTTCCAATGTAATCCTCATGCTCCATCCGAACCTTCAGTTGCTCGGTGACACTGCTTCTGGAGTGAAGAAGACCATTTAGTTCGCGTTTGTAAGTTTGCTCCCTAACTTCTGCAGCTGTTAAGTTACTCCTCAAGTTGTTCACCTGTCAAGGCAGACCTTAAACGTTCGTGTTGGCTAAGTACATAAAGTCTGCAGTCTAATACATATTGCACGGAAACGCGAGTCTGACGAGAAGAAGAGAACATGCAGTCCGGAAGATCTCAGAAATCTTGTGTGGAAGCAGGTGATGTATTCAATCAGGCCAGTAGTAATAGTGCAGAAAGAAGTATTGATCGAGGAACAATTCACCGAACCAATTCTTCGAGCTTCTTTCGACTATCAGTTGCTGCTGAAAGCTCTGTCTGAAAAATTCTCTGCTCTTTTGCATGATTAGCGTCTAGAAGGTTCTGCTTCTGCACAGCATACATAAGCATAAATACTATGGCAGTGCCAGAAGAAAAGGTAATACTTCCAAGTCCCTGCTCGTCCTAGATTCAGACGTTACCCGGAGATAGTCCAGGATTCTAAGAGCTCACACAATCACGTTTCTTCTGGTGTTTAAATGTATGTGTCAATTGACTTAAGGACAACCAGAAGCCCACCCAAAAAATCGTTCAAGAAGTCACCTCAAGCAGTTTCCTCAATTCTGATCGAGTTGACAACTCCTGGTCCTGTCTAACCATCATACCACATCAAAATTTTAACATTTGGAATTTGGCGTGAAGAGCAAATATCTCTTAGGACGTAGTATTCTTGTGATGAACAATTCAGCTATGAACTAGTGTTCCGTGGTATGCAAGTAAAGCCGTTTAAAAGCCTGAGCATAGGTAAGATAGTTATACTCATTTGAAATGACAGAAAGCAGTGAGACGTATGTAGCTGCCAGATAAAATGGTCAGAGGTTCCTATGTGCTTTTATCGTGTTCCAGTTATTAGCAGCTGTAACAAAAATAATTTTCTTTTGAATAGTTTGGCACGCCACTCTCTGCGTCGTTCAAAACCTCAAAAGGTGAAAATACTAGAATCTACTACTAAAAAACTTCAGGGGACTCACAGAGAGCCTTTCAATCGTTGCAAATCTGTGAGTTTCATGAAGACACTAAGCACATTTAGGAAGCATGTGTGCAGGGAAAGCATTACCCGGAGTCTGTTGAGTTCAGCCAAAAGATTCTGCAACCTGAACTTGACTTTCGAGAAAGTAACCACTGGCCGATCCGCTTCCAGTTTGACCTTCATGAACAGATAGCCTCAACATTATTATAATCTTTTTGCTTCTTTCTGATTAGCATGTTTTTAAAAACTTAGTAAATTCATAGTGGCATCTAAACAGTCGAGAATCTTTTTTACGATTGTGGTGCCGATAAACTACGCTCTACGGGCCTCATGAGACTTAGTATGTGAACTGCACTACTTTAAGAAGTGTAAAGATCTAAGAATCTCTGCGGTAGTCGCTTATTCTATTGCGCACCTGGCTGTTCGATTGCATGGTCCTTTGTAACCTTCAATCATCAAGATAGCTTTCAGTGGTTGTGATACTTCAGCAACCTCTGGGTTCTTGACGTAGCTTGTGGCGGGAGAGAAAAACGTCCATCGCAAATCTCAAAATCGCAAATATTGAGCCTCCATCACTACAATCACATTAAAGCGCGATGACAAATTAGGTCCGTATGTTCCTAAGAAGGTTTCTGGTGGCTTCGGCAATTGCTCTGCATCAAAGTATACTTGAAATAACAAAAGTCTCCTGGTGTTGATGGACTTGTGCTACAAATTTCTTAATCCATTGATCAATCAAAATTATCTGGTTATGTGGCTCATTGACCTCTCACTTGTCATGACATAACGAAGGCCGTGTGATTTGCGGAAGAAGATTTGATCTTGCTAAGAGCTGCTACCGGTGTAGCTACAAACACTACGCACAGAGTGTTACAGTATATTTGCAGCAGTTGTGTTATAAGAATAAGTGCGCACAGCTTCTTACGAAGGACCTTTTATTAGTGCTATTGTGTATGTAGATAGGAGTGTTTAACAAGAAGACATGGTTTGATGGGAGTTCTCTAGTTGATCGAACTGGACCAATTTCCTTGTCCGTCTTGTATCCGCAACGTTTCCTGTTCAGTATGATTACTTTCTTTCTCGTTAAATCTGCTAAGCAACTAGATTACAGAGAATGTTTACGACGTTAACTTCAACTCATGTGTTTGTCCCCTGGAACCTCGTAACACTGCGGACTTATCTTCTCATAATTAGAGTGGAATCTTCAAGATTCAGTGAGCTCCACTCGAGTTTCTCTTGCACACAGTCGAGTACCTCTCATGACCCCTCTGAGTAGCGTTTGTCATGTCCAAATTCACATTATGAAGTATTGTTCAACTCTGCTTCAAGATGATCGCAATTGTAGAAGTAGAACACAAACCTGGCCAAGATTCGACCTCTGTCACAACCGGGGTCTATCGATCATTACCGAGCAAAGCGCGTAACCTCAGGGTCTCTCCTCATGGGCTCATTAATCAGACGAAGCACTCATCATGACCTGCTATGATTCTACGAACCCCAAACCATGAGCACATATTACATTGTTCATCAGTAAACTCCTAGTGATTTCAAATCCATGACCTCCAATGATGAGTACTCAAGTCCACTACAGTGCAGGGCTACTCCCTCGCAGGCTGCTTCCTACGTTTGAAGGAGGCGCGGCCAGTTGCCCTCGTCCGAATCGTCCTGCTTACGCTTCTCCTACCGTACCGGCACACCCGGTCACATGACAAGATCGACGAAGTGTTTCGGTGACGACGTCTGCACGTATAATTTAAACTGCATCTTCCTCTTTGAAAAGCCGATTTGAATGGATGAAAGAGCACTTGGACATTGCGCGCAGAGGCTGGGTTTGAACGTTTATGACAGATCCGACTTAGAGGCAGGGTAGTTGACTGTTCTGATGAGCAGTGAGTTAGACCTCACGTCCCTCGCGTTGGCGAAATCGACTATAGTGAACATAAACGCCCATCTTTACGGCGTACGCATATGACATATATCATACTACTTTGGCTCGTTCCTTCGAGAATGAGACAGACGTACTTAGATACGTCACTCAGACGAAGCTGTGGAATTCCATTTTAGGGCTTTGGAATCCTGCTTGGGCTTTGGAATCCTCAACTTCCGTCCGATCAGTCAAAACGACCGGCCAGCAACACGCACTTTGCTTCACTGCCCTTGCCGATTTCACAATGAGGATGTCCAGCAGACCGGGTACTCGACTGGATAACGCGATGGCCGCATGGTTCCAACGTTAAAAGCTGACCGATTCCGGTACCTGCGAGTTGAGACCTGGGCTGGGTGTGACAGGTGGTCATGTTAATATCTCGCTCGAACAGTTTGACCGTGTGGCTCCAATCTACTCAGATCTGGTGCACGATATGATTGTGTTAGACGACTGGTGAGTTCTCGGAGGTGAAACTTCGTTGTCACGAGGAACCCTGCAGTACACGGGATTCACAGAGCTGGGCATGTTGGGAACTTCAGCTGAGACATGGCACATGTCAGAAATACAGCTGGCCATGGCTGGACCTCCAGTCTACGGTTCTGGCTAGCCTCTTTCTGCACTTGCTCTACTTGCGCCTGCTATACATACTCATATAGTACTATAAAATGAATAGACGTCTACACCATACCCTGTCGACATCTGACAACTGATCATCCACATTTGCCAGCACGCGTTCTAGGCTTCACACCCGCTGTAGAGTGTTCTGCGACAGTCCTCGAATGTCTAGCTTTGAGTCTGTACGTAATCCAGACAGAAGGCGTGTCCTATGGATTTGTCAGAAACAAGACAAGGTGAAAATGGCAACAGTGGTTACAGTACACGTGAAATTAGCTGTGAGGTAACAAGTACATTGGCAGGCTAGATGTGCGTGGAAGCTTTTCTCAGCCCCCACGGGCCTTCTTGAAGACTGCAGGTTGTTCGCCTTGTGTCGACAAGAGTGTGCTCACTCGTCGTCTACACACGATGTTGCAGCTGGACACGTTGGGAGATCTCCGAGTGTAATACTACGGACTCAGACCTTGGTGCTAACTTTGTATGCTCAAATGGCGCAAATCAACAACCCTGTATTGGATTAGATAGAAATAGATCGCATTTACCCCCATGCCTATATCGACGACTCCCAACCTTACGATTGCTGGTTCTGTCCAAGATATTCTGGGATAAGTACGAATGGATGGTTTATATTTCCTTCGTTTATGCCACTAGGTGAGCGCTAATTACGAAAGTGATAAAAGAGATTATTAACACTGCATGATCTTGACAGGAACAAGCCTAGTACCTCTAAAAAGTGACAGTAATGAGTAGACTTGCCTGGCTACCAATCACAACTGAAGCTTAGGGGCACAGTTCGATGTACATCGGTTCTTAGACAATAGCAGCACAAAGGGCGAGACTGATTTCTACATGAACCACACAACACTAATCATCGAATAAGTGGAGGGGTACACATGAACTTCTCCAGCCTCGAGACAAGCTGAAGGACCTAACGGAATCCATTATCTGCTTCAAAACTCTGGAAGTAGTGTCCATATGACACCGTGTATCCACTAGGTCAATTGTTACGGGACATTTACGACACAACACTGATGGATCGTACCACAGCAAATAGCCTATTCTTAAGTAGCTGACGGTCAGAACATCTTCATCCACATGAGTTCACGGTCCGATCCTCGTTGCACCATCCCAAAACTTGAAGTGAGTTCTGCACAAAAAATGACCAACACCTGCGCAATTCAGAGAGTAATTCTACAACTGAGCGACAAGAAACAGAATAAAAACAGATAAAAACCATCCTAAGGACAGGATCTCCGCAGACGAGCAATTCGGTACCACAATTCGGAACTTTTGATTACTTTTAACCATCATATAATAACTTTAGAGAAATACGAAGATAGTTCGGCAGTCAGGCACGTGTCTGCACGAACTTCAGACGAGGGGTACATGGCTCACTAGCAGCTGGATACCAAATCATCATCGAGGGCAGGAGGCAGGGAGAGGACCAACCAAAGCGATGTCTGATTCTAATTGAATTCCACAATAGACGTCGAATCCATCTATCTAATCGATGGACCTGGTTTCCGCAAATAAAAGTTGAGCTTTGAATACTAGGATATTGTAAGTAAATTCAATGATGAAGTCTTTGTACCCTGAACAATGACCCAAGGAGCACGGTTATAGACCAGTAAATTCAAAACCAGGTTTTCGCCACAGCTTTGGAAAACATCCATCAATCAGATATGGATCTGCTTGGCGCAAGTTAAAATTCTCAGGAAAGTCTTAAATATAAAAGGTGAAATTAATATATATCTAACTTGTCCACAGATCAGCTGGCTTTTCACGTGCGAACTTCCTTGCAATGATGTTGGGTCAGGGTCAGGCTTACCTGACCCAACATCGATCATTTCAAATGGTAAATAAGATGGCAAGGTGCTACGTTTAAAAACGAAAGATACAAGGCATAAGATTTTCAGAAAGGACTAAAGAGAAGAAATTTATAATACCATGGAAATGATATTCACTGGCACGGACTTTCTGAACAATCTGTTTGCAGGCAACAGACAACGGTGGGTGAAGTGCAAACGCTCACCTAATCTTTTCATATCCCCTAGTTGCTGCATGTACTGCATTCGTCGCCGCCAAGGATTCTGACCATTCAAAGATCATTACGAATGCGTACATCACTATAAGCTGACCTTGCACCTTCACGGTACTAATCAGGTTTGGAAGAAAGTGTTGCACTCTTTGCGGGGATTGAAGATACCACATAATGAGCCATCAATCTCAAAGTTACAAAGTCGATACCTATTAGTATTTTGACTTCTTACAGATAATCAAAGGTTTCTCCGGATCCCTACACTTCCCTCCAAACAAGTATCAAAAGTAGTTCGAATGCAAAATGCACAATCCATTGGCACTCACAAAAAAGCCCCGAAGTGGACTCAAGCAGAAAGTATGCACAAGATTTCTAGGACACAGTCAACTACTGAAGGGACGTTTGAGGTAGCACATAGCTCAAGACATTTCTGATCTACTACAGGTATGTACTTCTCTTCCTCGCTGACGAGAATCAAGTCCTGAATCAGTATCAAGAAGTAGAAGGAATGATAGAACACTATTGGATAGTATCATCAGGTAAAATAGGAAGACAGAGGGTTTTCCTCTCTTAATTAACATGAGGTTTCCCCCTTGATTTCAACTCCTACAATTGAATGCCTTTTACATATCATAACAAGGTCGGAAGATCAGAGGGGACGGCTGTACATGTAGCTGAAGGAATGGAGGCCTCTCTTGAACTTCCACGACTGCTAGGCATCCCAACTTTTCTTTCTCTACACTGGAAAGAACTTGCAGACAATGTGTACAAATCTCCTCTACAAAATTTAGGTCAATAAGATAACCGAAAGTTCTTTCCAATTGATGCAAGCGAGCCAGGATAATGGTTCCTCATGAATACTCACTACTACTAGTTGGCGTCGGAACGATTTCCACATGTTGCCGTCCAGATTTTGAAGTAATCTCGTCTTTGGTATCTTCCCTCTTCATCAGCCAATACTTTCATGCAAAAATGATATTTCGTGTACAAGCATGGGCTTTGACTGGTAACACCACAACCAGGGAGGCAGGTGCCGTATTTGCGAGTCACATGACTTACTCTCCAAGACCTTCACCATAAATTTATCTTATGGAATAAAGCAAACTTCGCCTTTCCTCAATACCACCTTCAGTTCAAAGAAGCCCCCGACGTCCCCGAAGACTCAGCTACGTAGTCAAGTCTTCCAGAAGTTGATGGATAATCAATCTTCTTGCCGGGATCATCATGATGAAGGGCTCTGCTCAGTCTTCTCAACCATATATCATAATCCACTGGATAAGGCGTGCCACATAAGCTGTCCACGTAATCCGCGAAGGCCTTCAACACTGCAGAAACCTCTCCCAGTTGTTGTTGAATGGCTCTTCTCGCCCAAACTCTTTCACGCCATTGCAGTGCAGCTTCCATGGTATCGAACTCGGGTGTTTTTCCTCCACAAACGAAGTAGAGGAGATAGACTAGACTTTCTGCATCAGAGGCAGGACAAAGCTTTCCTTCTTGAAGAGCCGACGTTGACGAGAATCTTGGAGCTATGGCGGGGCTGTCTCTATCTTCGAGTACAGCACGACCCCAGTCTACTAAGACGTAGTAAAACTCACCATCTGCTCCGTTGACACGAATCACGTGCTCTGGATTGATATCCCCATGTTGGATTCCAGCAGACCCGGAACTTCGCAATGCAGATAAACAATCATGACAACAGCGCAGCGCCTCTTCCGATGAAAAGAACCCCTCGCGCTCAACGACCACGTCGAGAGATTCCCCAACAGGAGACGTAACAAGTACTGGAGTTCCACACCAGGGATGATCACAACGTCCTCCTGGACTCTTTTTGGTGCAAGGCCCAGGGTGCATGAGTCTTCCTGAGGCAATCAATTGGGGCAAGTATTTACTAGAGATGCCCCTTTGTTTCATGATGTTCAACACTCTCGTCTGTCGTTGCACTTGGTACCACATACTCATATCCTCCCACGAGGGCTCGAGCTGAGAAGGATGGGCGCCAACATATACTGCGAGCGGTTTGCCCATATCATCTAGAGAAGTTGCACCGTACACAGAACGTCTGCCACCACCCAAATCTTCATGAATTTGAAAACCTCGTTGCCAATGGGCATCTTCCAGCCACAAAATTGTTCCCGGCTCAAGCTTCATGTGTTCAGGTGATTTCCCACCGTCAGGTCCTTCTTCTTCTTCAATCTCCACGATTTCTCGATGACTACGCCGATGAGAATGATGTTGATGAGAGGAATCATTTCCGTTCTCTTGCACTTCTAAGACCCGTCGCTCAGACTTTCTTCTTTGAACCCGTCCGTTGTGTTCAGCCGCAAGCTCTGCAATTGACCTCCTAGGCGTTCCTTTAAACTGCTCTATGCAGTGGAAGATAGCCATCAAGATTTGTAGTGTACCCAAATCTCCCCAGTTTGGATTCCCAAGATTGTTCCAAACTGTGTCAACATTAGACAAGCCTATATCCGCGTGCTTTCTGATCCATTCACCAGCACTCGAGTATACTGAATCCAAATTCATTTCCAGCTTGGAAACATCTCCTTTCAATCTCAGCACGCCGCCACACTTCGAGTCAAGCACCAGTACATATGCTGTGTCTATACTTTTCCGATAAGCAGACTTCTTGTCAGAGGATGCCCTAGCAAGGAGCATCAGCAAACCATGAAAAAGTGCGCAGCCTAGACTTTCCGATGTCAGAACGTATCCTGTCCCAGACTGATTGGTTATGGCCACATGAGACTTGACCTCCACAAATTGAGCGATGTGGTCCCACATAACATAACCCCCTGAGCCATTCCTTGCAATCAAAGCCACCCCAGGAAGAGCACTAACTCTACCTCTGCTGGATGCTTTTTCCACAGAATGAATTTTAGATCCTGATCCTCGAGGTCCATTCACAAAAAATGGCATCGAATCATCCGTATTCCAGAAGGTCTCCCACAAGCCTTCCGCACATATGTGGAGAAAGTCTTCCACGGCGAGGTACATATCCGATTCAACCAGTGCGGATGGAGGTCCTGCAGCTGGTGGGGGCATGCGCAACAACTGCTGAAACAGCACGCCTTCAAGCGCATAGTCAAGCTGTCGTAAGTCCTCCACCTGAAACGGAGGTGGAAACGGTGGCGACTCCTCTTCAAATTGGTCCAGTTTTTCCTGTAACCAATCCTGCAGTTGACTGATGAACACATTGCTATCTGCGAACTTCTTTGAGAACTCTCTGAGTACCCCTGCTTTACCTGTCCCTGCACGACGTACAGTGCGTTTGCCAGTTTCCTAGATTAGCATGGTGGCCAACTGTAATCTGTGGAGGTCAGCAAGCTTTTCAGATTCTCCACGACAAAGAAATTGCCCGGATAGGTGTGAAATATAGGCGTATTGCAACGTCATTCAAAAGTCAGAAGACATACCGGAAGGGACCTTTATCTCCCCACTCTTGGCAACATGTGCTTCTGCAGCCTTGGCTCGACGTCCTAAGAACAAACCACCAACTCTCAATAAGACCGCATGCCAGCCTTTACCCAAAAGATCACGCGGTGAACATTCGATGGGCTATCAGTCTCAAATGGCCGATTGCAGAACTTGCTTCACATAGACCCGACTGATTTGCAGTTCACTCATGAGGTTGGAACTAAACACGATCAATCGCCAAAGCCATTCATACAACGTAGTCATTACTGACCATCATCAAGTTGGATCCGAGGCTGGAGAATCGAAACGTGAGCTTGAGAAGATCAAATTAGGCCCTCGCCCGAGGTGACGATAGATGAACAGAACGCGTGAAAGTGGTTAAGGAAGTTGAGCCAAGTAGACGGAAGTAAGCTCGGGAAAAAGAGTTCTCAGTGCGATCAGCAGCGGTGAACTATTAATAACGAGGCCAGTAAGTGTATGCAACACCCTTCACCAAAGTGGACGACACAGACAACTAGCCTAAATGTTTGGGACGATGTTAGAAATAAATTCGGAACCAACTCCGAAATCAATCGCCAGTACAATATCAACCAATTATACAGATCGCCTGGCGAAAAAAATACCGACACAGCAGGTTCTAAAGCTTACGATTCACTACAACACATTCACTGCCCCATTAATCTCTACAGGAGAGACCAAAGAGAGACGTCATATTTGTTCGAGCTTTAGACGGAACTCCAGCTGCTGGGAGTTCAAGGAACGTGAAATATACTACGCGGCCTTACTTCGATTCTCAAACTAAAACCGCAAAATGGCTTTCAATGGTGGAACACTTTGGCCCAGGTGAGGAGGCCATGCGTTTGAGCTGGCTGGCAATGATAACAGAACGTCGTGGACTTCTCTCGGCTTAGCGATTGCCAAGCGCACAACCACGGTGCTCGAAGCAGACGGAGCTCAGATACAAGTCATGATCGTTACACACGATCCCTGAACTAAGCCAGCGAAAATTGAGGAGGCTACTCAGCTTAAGATTGATCAGAGATGGAGAATAGTACCAGGTCTCATGCTGATGTTTTCTGCTACACCTCTCCACATTACCGCTACGCGTAGGTGAAAGCCTCCTGCGCATTGCCCAGTCTAGTCGATGTCCGCGTATGCTACTCGTAGAGTGAACCATGGGCTAAAAAAGGTGCGTGGCCACCATGGCCCCCTGATCCGCTGAGCACTTCTCGTCATTCTTGCTTCCGCCAATTCTCTATACAGCATTGAAATCAGCCCTCCAGCGGCTTCCAGTACACTCCCGATTGGCTGCCCAAGCTTAGGCTGAAACACGCACCATCTCGAGCATCCGTCGAATGGACCATGCACGCGAACGACCTATTGAAGCCTACAAACAGCTCTGCGGCTGCCGCAGATAATCCTCCTAATGCAACCACCGGCAGCTGACAATCTCCCACAGGCTCACCACCTGCAGTACATGGGAAACTACCAACCCACAGGCCCCTCTTCCCACATGCCTGCGATGCGAAAGAGGCTGTCTCCCGACTTGAAACCACAAGCTCCTCCTCCTCGGGCCACTGTCAAAAAGTGCCCCAAAAGTTCGACGACAGATGTCATGAAGAACGGAATCGTAAACGCACCCTTCGCGGTGATCATTCATGCCCACGAACGAAAGGGCGAGCTCTTCCCCTCCAAAGCGCATTCATCATCGTCGTCGTCATCATCATCCCGGCACTGAACCCAATCCGCGAGCTCCTCTTCCGTCCAGTGACAGCGATAAAAAGCAACAGACTATTTCTGATCCGAGCGCATCCTGCATCAACGCAACCTCACACACGAGACTACAGACAGCGCTCGCCAACCGAACGATTCCAATTTAACATCCCACCGTGCCGCAAGACAGCTGTACCGGCACGCCACCAGGGGATGGATGATGCAATTCTCTCGACTTGACGCGAAGACGTTCGAAGCGGACAGGGAAGGAATGTAAGTGACGAGGATTGCGAAAGGAGTCGTCGAAATCGTGGCTTCGCTCGAGTGCTGTGTCTAATACGAGGCAGACATCACTTTCCAGAGCAGCCAGCGAGGAAAGCACAAGACGGAGAAGGAGATGGAGAAGCCATCATCCTCTCGGCACAACGAGGGTGACAGGTGAGATTCTCGGGTTCTGGGACCGGGATGGGCAGGGCGCGAGAGGGCAAACGCACGGGTTTGAATAAGCGGCACTTAACTACAGTATCACATAATCCGCCTCTTAATTGCGATTATGAATGTGGATTACAGCGTGCCAGCCCAGCCTTTCCAAGCCAGCGACTACTGTGGAGTCTGTACGTACAACGTCTATGGTCCACATCGCCCCTATACACTTGATTGACTACACATCCGTTGGGCATCGTATTATTTTATTGCTCCCCTACACTGTAGAGAGCACTTTCCCCTGTAATTCACTCTGGCCCCTTTAGAGTCCCCGTTTTCCATCGAGTAGAAAGGGAGTACTGTCATGGTATATCAGACAGTCTTACCCTTAAAGTCGTTCTGTGTGTCAGTTGTTGAGAATCCAGAATAATATCCGGGATGAAACTTTTGCATACAAGATCTAGCTCGACGTTTGTGTTTTGTTTTCGTTGTCGGCAGTTGGGTCTTGACCGGTTGAGATATGATGTCGATAGTTTCAAGTCAAGAGAAAATGAGTTCTTCGGAAATTCGCATGGGTCCCTCTGCCGCATAATTGTGACTCTCCATGATTTGAACTTCCTCTCAGCGGCTGCTTCGTGATTCATTTGCCGCTAAAGAGCTGCTGTCCAGTAGCGAAATGAGCACCAACGTGTCGAGTCGCCGTTGCGTTTCCACGGACACTGTTAACAAGCAAATGAACTGGAAATTATTATGATTATTATATCCTGGTGGTCATTAGGGTGTTTCCATGTAGCACGTAGATTGTTTAGGTGATAAATGACATTCTATGGAGATCACTTATACTTTCCTGAATAACACTTCTACTCCCTTCTGGTCACTCTCGTGAACTTACATGGTAGAATATTGAGAACTGAATGGTTCTAATATTTTTTGCTCTCCACACGAGTGGAAAAAATATGTGGTTGTATATTCAGAACAACAAATTTTTTTTGCCAACCCAAGTTGTTACACCCGCGCAATGTGTACTGATAACTTTACATATTGAGCAATCTTTTCGTAATGAAGTTACGTACTGTTTCAATTAGGCCAATTCAACCTACGAAAGAAGGCTTACTACTCGATCCACCAAAAAATATCTAGAAGATTCGTAAATAATTTTGTAGGCAAGAAATATGCTAACTCTTGTTTTATAATAAAAATCTTACATTTCTATTGTACATTTTTATTTTGAGCATCTGTTGTATATTATGTGGGGGTTTTTATTCGAAATAGCTATACATTATGGATTTGTGATCTTTCTCTCTCTGAAAATATATATTGCACTATACGAAAACTATCAGATCTGTGAACAGACCATATTATACTCAAGACTCCCTGCTGCTAACACAGTTTTCCGTTACGGTACACGCGTGCAAATTTATCGTTTTGATGTAAAGTATTAAAACTTATGTATTTCCAAGCTGAAACAACCTAAATTCTAGTGAGAAAAACGCTTGTTTTTTTAATAGTAAGGAATTTTTCGAACATAGAAGCACAGACGTGCACAATTTTCAAAATGTACGCAGTTATATTCTCATTTATATATATAAAGGAAAGGTATACAATAAATGCAGAGATGTTTTGTTTCCCAACTATTCCAACGAAGGAGGAATACTGTCTTCAAGTGCCACCAAGGCAGCAAGGAAATCTGTTCCGGAATCTCAGATTCTAGCATTGCATTCTCTCGCCAATTGCCTTAAATTTTGTTTTATATATATATATATCATTGTAATTCAGATGTTGCTAATCGCGTATGAACAACCACACACTTTTGCAGCAATGAGCTTATCGTATTCATCGCCAAACTCAGTGTCGAGGTGCGCTCCTTATCATACATATCACCTGAGTCAGCGACTTTCCTTGTTCATGGCAGGAAGACTACTAGTACGTAGGACTTGATAACATTTATTTAAGAATGACTAACTCTACTCAAATTCACAAAAATTGTGGGACCAAATTTAGGAAAAGAATTGAAACTAGTAAAACAATGTCTAAATCAATATATGCGTATGCAAAACTATCGTGAAATAAAATAAATAAAGCATTGAGCTTTGTTGAGCAGAATGTACATGTATGCATAAATACTGAAGTATGAATTATTTTCTCCTTTTGAGGTATTTTCAGTTCTGATAGAACTGAGAACTGAGAACGTTCCCTCCTCCGATAGAGAATTGAGGCCGACACGATGGAATTGAATTTATGTGTTTTAAAATGAGAGGAAAAATAGTTTAGTGGATAGGACATTGAATGGAGCATCTTCCGTTAAAGGAAAGGTTCACGTTCTTCACTTATCTGGAATAGCAGGTGGGAATAAGTTTTCATTAATGGCAGGTGAGAGGAGAGAAAAAAAAAAAGATTCAGTGCTCGCACTTTGTCCACTTAGATCCAGAAATTGAGAAGGACTTTGAGAGAACAACAACGAGGATTTGCGAATTTTCTAGCGAAAGTCGGGACTGGGAGGTTTCGACTAAGGATAAAGTTCTCGTGCTCTATATACCCTTCATCTAGCAGACTATCTGTTTGTGCTCGTGATTTCTTCCACTCTATCTGACTGAGTGAATGTGAACGAATGAGCACCTGAGCATTCAACTCCGAGAGATCTAATGGGAAACACATTGAATGAGAGGTATATTTATACTTCGTATATGTGTTATGTACTTATATACTTCAACAAGTACTACAAGTAATCCTTTGAACGTCAAGGCGGACTGGGAGGTTTCCACCTGGAAACTCATGAAACATCCCATATCAAAGAACAGCTAACCCAATCCATAAACTCAAGGGCATTTTATCACGGAGTAATTGATTTTTCTAAATGATATGCGAGGAAGTCCACAGTCAACTACATTCTATAAATACTACTAAGAACATAAAGATGTTCCGAATTACAGGGGAGAGAAAGTACAATCGACAAGAGGACGGTCCCATGTTCATCAATCAGTACGTTACTGTTCATTACGGCAATATCATGTGTTGTTTATACACATGAGACAACTGTTTAGTGTCCATTTTTGGCAAAGCTTGGTGCTACCTTCATTGTTACTCATTGCTGAGAGGTTCAGTGTTTATAACACTAGTTCAATACTTTCTTCCTTTCCATGCTCACCTGTTTTCATGTTTTCACTCTTACCGGTACACCAATAATGATCACTCAGGGTAAATAGATTAACAATTCATGTTGTAGCTCACTTCAAGAAGCAGAACTATTATCTATTTATTGAACTTGATTAGTCTAAAGTACATCTTCAATGTTTGAAACAGTTGTAATGGGTTGGTAGTCAACTATCGTAACAACGAAACTACTCGTGGAACTCTCAACTCATCAAACCCTTGAGTTTCGAGAGTGAATGTACAGTCCTAGACATGTCAATCCATCAATCAAAACTCCCCCATCGTGTAAATGTCTTGAAGGTACATCTTCAGCTTTCTAGTGTAAAACTGAATACCATAGTGAACTACTTTTAACACATCAAATAGCAGAATCTCAAGTTCTTTGTGGTTTCATGACTGTGGTAGACTACCGTCGTAATACAAAAATAATTGATATGAAACGAAATTAAAGGTACATGATATCTCTGAATAACGGGACATTAAGTAATAAAGCAGAAAGAATGAGGATGCTGTATAAATCCTATATGTTTGAAACCAGATGGGAAGATCAATCTTATACCAATTTCTCCAAAAGTATGTTATAATGTCAATAAGCACCAAAAACGTCATGAATTAGCAAGGATATGAAATTTATTCTCAACACGGCCAAAATAAAATATAATTGGTATTGTTAACACTATCATGATCCAATCTTCATCAAGTATACATTAAATGATACACTTCTAATTATCATGAGTGTTTCAATTGATTCTGTTATAGGTTTAATACCTCAGAAGTACACACATAAATTGTTGTATGTTAGTCTAGATGACCTCATAAGAAGTATTAAAGTCATTTTGAACACATTAAACATTATATTGACACATAAGCTTCCATCATGTACCTCATGCAAATTCACAATCCATGAATATCATATAATTTTTAGAATTTTTCATTATCAAATTGTTAATTGTATAAGCTTTCATACTTTTTTTGAAATGAAGTTCATAATTATAATGTTTGAATTGAAAGGTTAAGAAAACCTATGCATTTGAATAAATTACATTCTACACACATATTAAACTGATTAGAAATATTTTTCAAGCCGGACTAATAGGAAATTCAACAGCAACTCTAATAATGATAAATTTTTCACTATCCTCGTATAAAGTTTTACCATGTTTGATTTAGGTAGCCATGAACTGATAAAAAAAGCAAAACATACTCTCCATTAAATCTCCATTAAATCTCAACTACAAGCCTTGTCTAAACTCACAATGGATATTTTTATTTTTATTTTTATTTATTTATATACCCTACTCTCCACTCTCCCCCAATTCTCTAAAATGATGCTTCTTAATGTTGCATCTATGAAGATAATTTATAACATATAAGGTATTGTTCACAATAAATGAGTGGTCATAAGGAATAAGCAATTGTTTTGTAAATCTTGAACACAATGAATAACAACAAAGTATCACGCGGATCGTTGTGCTACTTATAATGAAAGCGAGGGGGTCTAAAGATATTAGTTTCAAGATTCAGGTTATTCGTCTTTACTAGCACTGACGAACTGGTTGGGAAATACCAAACTTCTAAAAGAAGTTTTTTGTTCTCCTATACCATCAGCTGAATCCATAAACCTAACCTCATCAGGTTATTGTTGCTCTTATCCTCGTTAAACAAAGGGCACAAATTTCTATTTAAATATATCTTTATCCTTTTATCTATATATGAAGTTGACGTTCGACTTCACATCCATATCGCTCCAACCAACAAGAAAATGATAAAGAAGTTATGATCAAAGCATTACCTATTCTCGATATTTACAAATTTCTCACATTCTGGAACTCGCAGTTTTAAGGCGAAGGTAAATGACTTAATGAAAGGGAAAATCTCAACATCACACAAAAAGGAAGGTCATGTTTGGATCCTGAATACCTCTTCCTTTTAATGTCAAATTATGTATCCACCACGGAGTCACGTGTCCTACTATCCCTCTGCATTTGGAACAGAACTGAGTCAAACCTTATCTGCCTCACCCTAGCCTCAGTAGTTGCAATATCCCGTCGTAGTCCTTGATACATATATATATACACATCACATGTAATTGCTTACATGTTATTACATTTGCAAAAATTGGGATATATTGAAAGTATCTCAAGTTCGAAGCAATTTTCGTGTGCATTTTGCTCTATGAGTTTATTCCACAACTAGCCAATCCGACAAGTTTTCCAACATGCCATCCTCAGGGGGTGTGTAGTGTCAACGGGCGAAGAGAGAAATGCAAGCATACAAACAAGCCAAATTTTTATTTCAATGCTTTGCAGCCAATGTGCAAGTAAAAAATGAAGAAGTTGAAGCACAAAATTATACATGAAGTTTATATTTCTTACGTGCAAAATGCAAGATGGAAAGGAAAGGAAAAAGGACAATGAAATAAAGATCCTGTTGAAGTGCCAGATTAGTTCCCACTGTGAAGTTACAACTAATCCTTGAACCCAGTGGATAAAACAATTCAAAGATTGAAAAATCTCTAGTTTATTTCTAGATAATACCTAAGATAAAAAGTTTTATTGGAAAAAAAATTAGTAAACAAGAAGCAATGGGCTAGATGACCTACTGGTTTTGCCCAAAACGTAAGTTTCTAGCTTTTAAAATCGTATGATAAATCAGCAGAAGAAAGAAAGTGGTTCTGGACATTTTCTATTACGTTGTTGATTTGTCATTCTTTTGCCATTCAAAAAATTTCAAGATCTAACAACCATTCAGTTGAAACGCAAACAATTTCCTTCACTCAATATAATGGAATATAAATCGTTGAGGTAGACACTTCAAGCATCGGGCCGCAACGATGTTAAAAAATGACAGGAATATCCCGTTAATTAAGATAATCTAGAATATTAATTTTCAAGTGCACTTTGCATTCCGTAAATATGTTTACTGTTGGAGATCGTAGAACATCAATAACACGTCTCTAATGCTACTACCTCTTCCTCGTCTGATTCCAAATTATTGTCCGTTTGTACCGAGGTGTTTAGTAACAGGTTCTTGCAGTATGCTTGATCTATCCAAACTATCATCCAAAAGAACTGAAAAGTCGAAGGTCATTCCAAATTCCGTGTTCCATCATTGAGAAACTCATCGAATGTAAAACCACTGCATAGCAGCTAAGGCGGTACTGAAAATCAGTACTGCTCTGGGGAATCATTTCGCTGACAATGTTGTGCGTTATGGGAATTCTGCAACTTCTACGTTATATTCCAGATTAGTGGAGGGTTGGGGTTTGCGGATGTCATTGCTGCATTATGTGATGCAGTAACTTTTAATATGAAGTAAAATCTGGGACCTTGGTCGAGTTGCGCTTTCTGTCCTTTCTCTCCGATTAGATTTCACGAAGTAATCTACCAATCGAACTCTCTCTTCAGTACGAAAAGCTTAAATATAGAAATCAGGATGTTCTCAACCAAGTCATCAAGAGCACGATGGAGATTTACTCTTAAAATTGTGCTTATCGGAGGACAGAAACTAAAATTTGCAACGCTGGGTCAACCACGCTAAATTAGAACTGGGTATCCGAGGCGAGCGGGTGGCTGTATATATCGACCACATCGGACGAATAGCATGAGTCAATCGGACCAGAACCCGTTTGTCTGTCTGAAGAGCTGAACAGGAGAACCGGATTTCTCGCCACCGGCAGCATCGTAGCTAGTGCTCACAACACCGTCCCGAAGACAATGGCCTCGACTCCCGACGGTATGGCATCATGGTCCGTGTCGCCCGTTTAAGCCGGCAGCTCCGGCACGGCCAGTCAACTCCTCAGGTTGGACTTTGCCGGCGGGAAACCCCCTCGTCATGCCGTGCCCGCCTTCCTTCCATACCTGGCCCGAAAAATTCGCTCTAGCGAAATGTGAGCGTGCTCGACTTGGCTGGATATTTGTCGACGTTTGAACCTTTGAATATGAGTAAAGCTGACAGTTGTGATAGTATTGGCGACGAGACGCTAGTGAGTGCATCATGCGGCCTTCGTTTGCGGGACCGGGTTGTCGCGCGGATCATCCGCATGATGTGAGGAGACGAGAGTGATGGAAGAGGAATCGGAATCGCTCGCTTGGGATGCGAAGAGATGAGAGTGAGTGCTGATCAGAAAAAGCCCATTTTGGCCTTGGCAGAGTCGAGACTTGACATGTTTGAGGAGGAGGAGACAACCTGAGGGTCAAAAGTGCTCGCTGGCAAAAGTAAAGTGGTCTAATCTTGGAAGCTCGATAGGCGGCACTTGGGCGCTAGCCAGTGAGGTGGGACGAATGATGAGAAAGTCCGAGGTAAAGTTGACGAGGTATGATGCACAGTAAGCTTTGTTCATGCAGTGTAGCGGTCCCTGATTTTCAGGAGGACGATCGAAGAGCGATTGAACTTACGGACTTTCAGGAAAGAAATCCATCTCGACATGGCAGGACGATGTTCCTCTGGTACGGGTAGTTGTGTAAAGGACGAGCTGGGTAGTTTGCGTGAAGCAGCTTTCGAGGTTTCACCTCCCAAGAAAGGTGGGACTTGTGACTAGTTCAGTGAGTGAAGAGCAAGGTGAGACATCCAGCACGGCAGGAGGATAGAACACATCGCCGCGAGTCAAAGCCCTAGTAGGCAATGGGCTATTGACAGATCCTCGAGCTTCTTCGTATTGATGGCGTGATCTGAAGATGGAGGAGACAGTCAGTTGTTCAGATTAAGCCGTACTATGAATTCGTAGACTAAAGTTCATCCGCTCGTCCATGGCTTCACTGAAGCTGGAGTACACATCTCCACACTTGTCACTCATTCTTCTGGCTTCGCCCCAACAGGTGTATCGATATCTCGTTTTCCCCTTTTTAAACCCTCTGTCTACGTAACTGTAGGGTATGACACAGCCTAAAAAAACAAACAGGCATGCAGTAGCTCTCCGCAAACACCACCACAGATTCCTCATCAACGATTCTCTCCATTCTCGTCTCCAGCATCCAACAGCTGAGCAACTGACACCAGCATTTTCCCCTTTCCTTTTCAGAGACCTTCTGCATTGTGTCCGCCCGCCCGCCTGCAATCTCATCCTCGTCTCCACCATGTTTCCGAAAAGTCTACCGCTCTCGAGCTGGCACTGCCTACGGCTTCCTCCTAGCCTCGGAAAACACGTACCACAGATTCTATACCAGCGTATGGCCTCAATACAAGAAATACACGGACGGCAGACGATCCCGTAAAACAGAAGTATGAACTGTTGCCTGAAAAGCAAGAGAAGGAGAAGAGAAGCTTCTCATACGTTCGTGAGACAGATGGACAAACAGTTGAAACTTACACTTCCTTTATATAATAAGTTTTTGGGCATTTATTGACATCAATATTTAGGCTGTACGTGGTATCCTTCTAGGTATGTGTACAGGCTGAACTCCCTGCCTACCCACCTTCAATGATATTTTGATCCACTTACTCACGTATCGTCTGCCAAGCTTATTGGGTAATGAATACGAAGCAGACGGAAATTTCACGTACTCTTCCTCTATGACGATGCAGTTGTCAAAGGACCGAGGAGCACAAAACCAACAGGATGGAGTATGTTGAAATGGATTGGTCAATACATATAAACTTACCCACTGTTGCGATGACAGTAATAGAAAGTGCTGAGAATTATTATGAGTATGTAATACCATTATTTATTATATATTCTTACAATGTAAGGTGATCAAACTCTAATGGTATCATCAAGCTTCTTATAAACTCATCAACAACAAGTAAAATCAGGAGATTATTGTTGGTTCTGTTGTCCGCAACAGAGGTCTCGTGCAACTCATCGGCTGCGCTCTATGTTTCTGTCGTTTATCTCACTGCAGAACCCTTTCCGTAGCAACATATATAGAACAATGAATCAACATTGCTGAGTGTGAGGTGGTCTGCTGGGAGCCATACGATTCCGAATAGCTTTCGATCTGACAGTATATAGTGGAAAAAGTAGACTGTGTCTGCTTAAAGTCTTCAAATCTTTTCGATTCCTTCAAACATAGGAGAAGACTCGAGAAAAATGTTCCTTCATTTGCTTTATTCTGCGCTTGCAACCCATGAGCAAGAAACAGACATTGCATCCACAACTTCCTCTTGATTTCCGCATGAGTAGTTTTCAAAGCATCACGTGTTTGGCCATGAATCTCAACATTCAGAAAATCCTCTATAGACAGGGACTCTCTCTTTCTCATCTTCTTCTGCTCAGCTAGGACACTGTGTACCAGGTCTCCCAAGTTTAACGCAAGCCTTTGATTTCTCAAACATATCTTGTATACAGCTTGATTTTGTTTACATATGTTCATAAATCGTCAGGGAAGATTTACGCAGCGTCCACCGTAGAAAAGGTTAGAGAGGATATAACTTTCCCATGGTATCGGCACCAAAGTGTCAAGCCCAGATCACAGTTATGGAAGGAAGTTCCAAAGCGAGCTTGGCACTCTCTGATAGCCAACGTTTACATAGTGAGTTCAGCAGGGATGGATTCAATCATTTCTGGTGACATAGTAAACAGTTCAAAGCTTGCACAACACCCTGTCCAATTATGTATCGAATGCGTATCTGTGGCGGTTCGTTTCGACCTGACACGTGATTGACAAGTTGTTAAAACATCTTCGTAATATTCTCTTTTCAATAATGTAGAAGAATCCCGCTTATCAAGATCACAATCTCGATAAACGAACTAGTAGTTGATCACCCGTGCTGTGCATGGACCTCTAATCGAAAAGGCGTATGCAACAGCGTATGTAATATGTAATCTAATCTATCAAAACCCATATTATGTGCTGGACTATGGCCTCCACAGGCAACGAGTGAAGGCAAGGACAATTACCCGGTGAGCCAAACTTCAACAACAAAAGTCTGAAGCATAAATAAAACTCTGGTCCAGTGTTAACTGCTACCTGCATTTCGTTGGTTAAAGCAAAGAAAAGGTTACTTCAGCCGTTCATCAGCGCTAACAGATCTTCTTGGCATCTATGTCTCAAAAACGATTTACCATTTACGTCTTCAGGCTTCTGGACGGCACTACCTACTGTGACGTACTTTTCAGACCCGACTCAGTCACCCCACCGACACTTCAGTGCTTGTGCCATTTACCTCGACATTTTTCATATATTTCTGAAGACGGGTAGATACGGTACGGCGTCCAGTTCACATCATACATAGTTTCTTAATGTTCTTCCAACCTTCACACCTGGAACTCAACAGATCCGGCAGAAAGGGGGTCTACCATTGCCGTGTTCGTTTTTGGGTATTCTGGTAACTTAGAGAAATGTGGCCCTTTCCATGGAGGTGGAAAGCGGACCCAATGAAGCAACGAAAATAACCCATTTCGTTGATCGTATCACGGCTCCCCGTTTGTGGATGCCAGGAAAACCTCAGCGATTATATCGCGGCTAGCTCGTGGTTGTTGTGAACTCGTGGCGAAATGCTCAGAGACGAGTGACTGTATTCCTTCACCCTCATTAATCGAATTAATCTTTTGGCGGAGCCCATTAACTGGTTCTAGATCTTTCTACCGAAGATGCGTGTATTCTTATACATTTCCCTCATATTTACCCGACATTAAATCTTACAGACTCGAAGCTTGCACATAACTGCCTCTTCATTTTAGGTCAAAACAGGTGATGAACAGTCGACGAAGATCGTACGAGGTACAATAGAACAAGAGGTCGGAAGTTTGAACCACGAACGCTCGGGTATGAGCACATTGAGGATATCGCACTGTACACGGCAACCTCACCATGCTGCCAAAACTAAGAATGAGGATATGACTGGAGGTCCTGCCCAGGACTTTCTGAAACCCAGAGCAGCAAAAATGCACATTCTGAACACCCTGCTTATGGGATGATTCATCCGCAAACTAACTAACCCTGCAAATGAAAGCCTTCTACCTCGAACATAAGGATTATCTGAAGACGTGTCCACCCTTTTCATCCTTAAAATCATTGAAAGGACAACGTGTGAAGGGTGCAGGATAAAGAAGTTTCCACTGTAAATGCTCTCATGGTTACAAGCAGTTGCTTGTTTGCTCGCTGCGGTACACATCCTCTATCCCATGAGTAAGTCATGGAACCTTAGAGGTAATGGACTTTTGCTGCCAAGGTCTAATCATGCGCCATCGTTGAGCCAACCAAGTCGAGAGACGAGTCAAAGTGATCAAACTTCGTAGCAAGCTACGAGCCCTGACCAGTGCCTCCCGGGTGCTTCTTGCTGCGAGAGCTACTTTTGGTTTCACCACCTGCACTTGCTCGGTTGCCCTCTCCTGCAACATAGCTAACCCAGTAAACGGCAAAAATGGAGTTGGCAAATGTGTCCTTTATAACTGATTACCGCGGTGCTTAAGGTACTTCAATTGCTTGTAACTCACTGCCAGACTTAGAAACGCAAGCTGAACGGCCACTCCGGGAGCGTTGACCCTTCTGCTTCGAGTAGTTCTAGTCTAGCACTGCTTCTAAACATGTGCAGACTCAAACTCGAAAACCTAACTTCTTCAGCATGCTTTAGCTATGCTTAACACATCTGTCATGATCGTCTGTCTAGCTAAAAGTCAGAGAGTGGAGAGTTTTTCAGCTAAGAAAACGTAATTTTCCTAAAAATGCCGTTTCGTCAATAAGCAAATATCATGTACTTTTCAAAGTAGGTAAAGTTTATCTCAACCAGATCGGAAAAACAAGGATCAACGTCCTTCATAGGCGGGTTCCATAATCAGACTTACTAGAGATTATGCAAGAGAATGACCATGAACAACTACTACCACTGGTCTCTCCTTTGGATGAGAACCAAGCCCGCATTTGACATCGTTCTTTAACATTAGACACTAGAATCGGGAAATTGAGTGTTAGAAACAACACGGTTCACAGGCTTCTGTCTTGAAGCCTTGGTGGACTCACCAATCGACGTGAAACTGCCCATCCGTCGCAAACCATCCTCAGCAGCACGTACTGCACGAGTAGAGCTCCGCACACCCTCAGAAATTTCCTGGCTGGAGGACGTCCACAAAAAGTTACGATGCCCTCATCTTAGCAAGGCAGTTCACTCATGAAAATGCATACTCAGGAGCTTGGCCATGCATGTTGAATATCATGCTGCTATTTGAGATTCCGAGACCTTTAGGATCTGGAGTAAAATTCGCTTCTTGCAAGTATAACAAGTACCAATTGACCCACAAAACTTCCCAGATGAAGTTCAGCATGACTTTACCCTAAATCACTGAGCTCCATTGTGAGATCGCTGATTTCCATCCCTGACAATCTGACAGCAGCCATGGTCCCGGGAAGCTCCTCCCGGGCCGTGTCTGCTAGCTTCTTTAGAGAGTCAGCAGCCTTTTTGAATGCCTGTGAATGAAATGCCAAAAGTAATTGGCAAGCCTTGTCTCCACAAATAAGACGCAGACAGTCCATACAACTTCGGCCAGTTCTACATCTATATTCAGCAGTAGAGAAAAAAAGGCAACTCCGGTACTAACATCATTAGAATTACATGGTCATGTCTATTTGTACCAAGAAACTATGCGCATTATTGGAATCCATGATTGATTGAAGAGCGTCAAGATGAGTTTAGAGTTGTACAATCAAAGTAGGAATCGCAGCTAGTAAAATACACGACAGTGCCCCTGTTGTCTGCACATTGCCGGGCACAAATCAACATAAGTCGCTATCTTCGTGCAACGGAAAGAACTCACGAGAACATCCCGAGGACGATCCTGACTCGTTGAACGCTAACTTGGAGCGAAGAGCAACAGAAATTCGCATGTAGAGTCGCAAGTATCTAAAATTAAGAAATCGTACCAGTTCTTCTCGCGATATTGTTAGAGATTATGAGAGAAAAAAAACACGTAGAATTTTCAAACTAGGTGATTACCGCACAGGCGATGAATCCTAGGAGAAGAAGATGACGATCCGTGAAATTTATTTGTCTGAGAACCACGGGCGGCAATGCTGCGGTGCCGGTGCTGCTGTAAGTGTTTTGTTCGGAATTTTCCAAAAACCTCGTCGATGCTTCTGCATTGAATTCATTCTCATTCAGCGCAGGTGAAATTTCCGCGAGCTCGCCTTCTCTTGAATCTCTTCGCAGCTCCGAGCAGAATTTCAAAGTTTGAGGTCCCTTCCTGCTCATCGAACAAACACCAATTCGTTTGCGCTCCTGCACCGAATGCAATCTACTCTTGGAGAAGAAGGGATTGGGGAGGGCGCATCCATGGGTAACATCTTGTAAAGCAGCACTCTGCAGAATCCAACCTTGCATCTTGATGACGACGATTTAAAATCCAGGGTAGAACCTGATTCTCCAGTTACTCATAAGCGAGGTCCCAGAATGCAAAAAATACCATGGCTTGAAAAAGTTGCAAATTTGCTACAGCGCGAATCGCCGAGTTCAACCGCAGAGCTTTGTTTGCAGCTGACAGAAGAGAGAAAAGCTCTCAGTCCACATCTAAAACATTGGAATAACTCAGTTTCTATTGCGCAGACTCGGTGTTACTTGACCCACCTTCGTCAGGACACTACGGACTCTGACAAGTCACCGTGGGTCTTGCAAAATATAGTAGGCTATGCATCCTTCTCACCTGCCGAAGAATGAAGCTTCACCAATAGCTCTACCCCGCGTAGCACATCGGAGTAAATAATTTACTTACTTTTAACTTTCACCTTACCGTTTCAGTTCCTTCTACCTTCACCTACACTTTTTGTTTCTTTGTCCCCATCCGTATTTCCCAGGGTTCAGGAGCAGTAAACGAGATTCTCCAGAGTGCAGACCACGGACTACAGGAGTAGAAGTCTACAGAGTCAAAATTGTAAGCTGTCGCTTCAGAGGTACATGTGCAAGTGGATCTTTCGATTTGATCTGTGATGGTGATAGAAAATTTTATATCGGGGTGTAATTGCTTGCAGCAACCGGTCACATTTCTCAGAAAATGACTGCCTAGTTCTTCGTAAATAGCTTTGTCTTCGATAGACTTTACGCAGGAGTAGTCCACTTGAAGTATTGTCCGCAGCGAATAAAATCTGAAGACCAATCTTATGTCAGTACTGCCTTACGATGCAGAGGAACGTACCCAAGGCTCAACAATTTGTTAAATTTGTAGCGATAAAAGATTGATGTTCGAAACCGAATCTCTTTGTAGCCCTTGTATACACCGAAATTCTCGAATGGCCAGAAGTCACCATGATGTTTAATAAAAGTATGTTTCGATTTTCCTTCTATCAAGGTTTTAATTATAACTCACAGGGAAGATCTTTAGTTAGAAGGTGGGTAATCTATTTGGCGATGACTTCTACAGAAAACCTTTGCATAAGTGAACATCTCATGACGATGTTATATTAACCTGTGCAATCCCTCCATCCTCCATCTAGAGTCATTCGGAACTGATACCACTCCAGCATCTGGACACTTTACATCACCTCATTATTCTTCTAGGGAAAGTTCTAATGATAACGACAAGACTAGAGAGACCTAGTTACGAGAAAGCAAGAAGTGAGAAACAATCTTCGAAAAAGCTACAGCCATCGCAAAACAAACAACTCTCGGACGGAGATGAAAAGAGGAGGCATGCTTCTCTCGGTACTCACGGTTGATATATATTGGGTGATTGACATGGGTTGATTCATCGATTTTCTCGATTGAAATAACTTGCAAAACTTAGTTGACACTACTAATATGGACACGTGTGGGTAAGAATCATATAATTACTGACCGGCGAATGATTTGTTCATTAAATTACAAGCATAACCTAGAATCAAGATTTCTTTTATTATGAAACTTTTACACAGTGCTTGACAAGATTTAGAGCAGTTTTATAAGGCGGTGCTATAGGTGGCTGTACAGGAGCCAGTGTGCCTGCCGAGGAATCAATAGGATAAGACTGATCTGCATCCCAACCGCTGAGGTCCCCGCAAGCCAAGAATGGAATGATGAGTTTGTTCGAACCTTCAAGCCATGAACTACAACAATCTGCCATCAAAAGAATTGAAGAATCAGATTAATCCATGAGTGTCTTTTTCCTCATATATTGAAGGTGTGCTGTATCAAACTGATGCCCGAGAGTTTAAAACGTGCATAGAGATCCCTGAAAACTGCAAGCAGTGAGTGGTGAATAACTTTACTAGTGACATAAGAAGAATTACTTGCAGATGGGGCAGTGAGTATAGGGATGTACCCAGATCATCAGCTTGACTGCTAGGATTTTCAAGCAACTTCTGTAGACTCTTGGGGTTGAAGTCCTTGGGAGGACAAAACCCTTCACAAACGACGAACGCCTCTGCGAATCGGGCAGATGATTAAACACAAAATCTGGCAGTACTAGTAGATACTGCTTGCTACTTAGCCATGTTTCAAATACATACATCGTATACACTGGTACAAACCAGTAGCCAATAATCCTTAAAGAAATGCATGCTCCTTACCGATACTTGAATTTCGACTACTTTTCGGCTTGGCACATGTAACAGTAGGGAAGAACATTTTCAGCTACATGACAAAAGACAGAAGCTATTAGAACCAAACAGACACTGCTTCCAATCAACTTATCACTTCAGGACTTCAATAGATATTTGCGGATTGAAAGAAGCGCTGATTAAAACAAAAGAGAAGAAAAGTAGACTCTAAATCTTGTAAAATGAAGTTCAGTTTGAATGCAAGGAAGATTTCGCTCTGTGGTGGAAAAATAAATCAACTTATAAGTTATCCAAAAACAGCAACAGGATCCATACAAACCTGAGAATACAGAAGACTTATATCCTTCCCCCTGAAGATTTTCGCGACAAAGTTACCACCCTCACGCAGTACATTTGTAGTAATAGTCAAAGCCTGGACGAAATATCGATATGGTATACGTTAGAGGATGTAATAGTAATCGACTGCCAATGTTTTCCAGATGTTTCTGCAAGGTTCCTTGTAAAATACGACAAAACACTGGGTAAAATAGTTTTCAGCAAGTTCGACTCACAACAACAGCTATAATCTATTCAAATAAAATGCTCTGCAGATAGCCACAACAAAGTTACTAGATTTTGATGAGATCTAATAGGTGTGTTTAATTTAGTAACTAGAAATATCTTGTAAAACCAACAAGTGAAAAAGTAACGTAAGTAAATTGGTTCCAATACCGCTAATATGAGTTGTGATTGTACAAACTCGTCCATGTCATGAAGACCAGTAACTGCGCATATCAGTCAATGTTGTATTTAGCTCCACATCGCAACAGCTCCTATATGATTCCCATGCCTGGTGTTCGTAAGAGAAAAAGTTCCCTACAGTATAGCCATTCGTAAAATACAACGCTTTCTGCTGTTGTGAACTGGATATCTTACCATCAGGAGCACCGTCACAAACTACCAAGTCGGCTTTGCATCCATCGAAGTGCTGAATGACCTGAAAATGAAAACATGTGTATGTAATGTAAAGGACCAATACTCACTTGGACGTCAAAGCGGAAAGCGTACTTCACCTGAATGAAAATGAATCAAAGAGTTGGGTCTCAAATTTCTCAGAATCTAAGATTTACCAACTCGGCTGTACGGGCACTTGTGATGTCCCCTTGGACCTGGATAACTCCTTCGATTGGTGCCATAGGTTGTAAATCGATTGCCACTATCAAGGGCAAGTCGCCATCCCTTCAAAAGCCAACCACTTGACTCAGAACTGGACTCACTGAGAATCAAACCATCACACAGTAGAGGTTATACAAGCAAGACTAACCCAAGTAATTCATCTCAACTTTACACCTCCAATATCACTTTGGTGATGGAAGTCGAAGTTTCAAATTGTCTGGCGAATATTAAGAGTCCAATCTTTTAAGGATAAAAAGATCCAAGTAAATCAGCATATAGCTTAACTCTTGTTGTAGAGTTCACAAGATACGAAGAAATGGTCTTGATAGGACAACGACAACAACGTGTATGTGACAAATACAAACTGCGTGTCATAGCCTGAACTCCGTAAAGCCCATGCCCAGGCTAAAAGTGTTAAACTACAAAGGACGTGACTGGTGATAGTCACATTACCTTTCACTCGTCTCTACCTTGGCTGGCAAGTACACCTTCCTACTCAGCACCTGCCAAAAATGAACTATACGTGATGTCAAAAGTATATACATTCTTAAAATCAACCCAACAGCTCCATTCTAGAAGACCGGAAAAATAAGACTCGACATGCACTGAGTTCAGTATGAGGAAAATAGTGTGAGTTGCCCGTAGTCACGACAGTACCAAGACAGGTAAGAAGATCTCGAGATACTCATGTTTCCATTGTAACTCGCTTTGGACATAATCATATAAAAAAGGAGAAAAATATTACAATGTAAGTTAATAGGATGTTACGAGATAATTTCAATAGCTGAGAACTATGTCTGGCAATCTGCATACAAATATGTCTCAAACCTGTAAAAAATTTCAAAAAACACTGCACACTTTACGAGCTTCAAGAGTTGCCAACCAGTGGGATTAGGTTTTCTAGTTAACCATGCCCTTAGATTGTATGACTATGCACGGGAGAGATGGAATAAAAATTGTACCTGACTCCAACTGCCTGGGGCAGCACACAAATCGACCACGCGCTTCACATCTGCAACAGACGAAATGCAATGAGAGCTTGACCCATGACTATGTGACCAATTCATTTTACGGAACAAAATTTACTGAGTGGTGTCAACTTCATGTACCTCTTAGTATTCCAAATTCCTCATCGATTTGCAAAAGCTTGAATGCACTACGAGCACGCCATCCTTGTTCCTTTGCCTTGCGATAATAGATGTCCTGTAAGAGACAGTAAAGAACGTAGCATTTATTGAAAACGTCCACAGTAAACTTTGGAAGACAACATGGATGGTTATCGGATACAGACAGTGATAACAGATTGGTAAATGAAGGAATTGTAAGGGAGTTATCGGGGTTTAGCGATTAGTTTTCCATCTAAACAACAAACATCTGCGAACTCAATGACGGGTAAAATCACGTAAGCTGCCAGTCAATGTCGCACCAATGAATGATGAAACTCTTCAAATTCTTGAAGCAAATGATGGTCGATAATGACATGAAAGAACTTACACGCTTGTCCTTTGAAGACTTGCCCATCTCTTCACTATACCGCAGGCATGAACAGCCTAAATTTGAACCAAGAAACGAAGTGCCAAAGTCAACACAAGTGACAGGAACTTAATTCAATTAATTCATAATACCTTCGCTAAGAAGTCTACAAAAGATCAGCAGTGAAATGTACGAATACACTCGTTGCAGGATACACTTCAGCAGAGGACCAATTTTGTGCCCTCTGTAAAAACTCACCTGAGGAACAGAATAAGCTTGCCTTTCAGCTTCGCATTCGCTCTGGCAGCGCTCGGATGTCGCACCACTTCTCCTGTCCCCCCCGCGTCTCTCTCTCTCTCTCTCTCTTACCTTCCTGCCGCCTTGTCTTCCAAGTCAGGTCTTCGTCTCGCTACTGCTACTGTGTTAGCTGCGTTGGATCGATTGATGTATCCAGCCAAATGGCAGGCACAACCTGCCCGACTCAACGAAACCAAGCTAACCTGGGCATTCCAGTGCCTAAATTTCGGAAACCCAATGAACTACAGAATGTGCTGCCGTCATGGCCTGCACTTAATCGTTCCCATCCTGTCTGTATGTCCTGTCTCTTTGTCCGGCTCTCTTGATTAATTCTACGTCTCTCCTTCATCCCGCACACTCTTCATAAGCTCTGCTAATTCTTCCTGCCTGTGTTTTCTTCCCTGAAGGGGGCCGGGTTGTCTCCTCCACGTCTAGGCTTTTGCGATACTGATCCGCTCCTATCGGTAGTGGTGTCGCATGAATCCAATCCCCTCTATTGACTATTAAGCCTCATATGCATAACTCCAAGGAGATTCTGCATAGCATTTATACATTCATCATCGTTTTCCACAAAAGAATGTCAAATAAGTTAGATACAAAAGAACGTTCGATCAATACCCTCCATATATCATGCATGCATACATTCGTCCGATAACTTCGATTAGTTTCATATTCTAATATCCTCACTCTTATATTCTTCAGATAATCAAATACTACACCAATTATTCCGAATATTCATTATAAATAGATTGTTAAAAAATGTATATCAAATATTATATAGTTGATTTATCTTGAACCAATCTACTCTATCCAATTGATTTATTTTATCCAAATTTTTTTGTATATTATTGTGATAACAACAAATATCAAAATGGAATATAATGATATAGATTCATTCTCATAGAGAGAGATGCAACATGAGTCATGATTTGTCACGAACTAACATTTTATTGAAAAGTTTTACTTCTTAGTCAAATGTTACTCCCGGAACACACTGCTCGATTACGGTCGAAGGCCCGAAGAGCAGAGTATAAACACACACAGCCTGAAACTTTTCCAATCAACACCTATGGGAATCGCCTTGGACCCCACACTATGATTTCAGAGGAAACTTCTCAGAATTGCATATTCCCGGCTCACTGACCCGAATACCCAAACCCAAATTTTCTTAAATCCTGAATAGCCCCCGGCGTACTCTAAACATTCAGGTTTGACATACACAGCTCCAGATGCGGTATCTTCAACAAACCGGAGTGCACTATGCACGGTGGCAAGATCCACAAGCACACAAACACGCACAGTGGATACAAATTAACAGCCAAGACAAACCAATTGACAGAAAAGCCCCCCAAGGAAAGAGCCTTGGGCCTCTTTATTTACTTTGAACTCATAGTCATCTCATCCGCCCGAGACGAACTACTCTCGGGTGCGAGGCCATCCAACGCAGCGGTTATAGTCTCCTCTGAACGTCCGTCGGCTCCTAACCTACGCAATATGTTTACAATCTCTATCTTTATGTTCTCTTGCGCCTCTTCCAATCCCGAAGAGAAAGAATTAACTTACTATACTAATTGTTTGTGCCCCGCGGATCCGCTGGCCTTCATACTCATCAAACGTCGCTTCAGCGAATCCAACTTCAGCCACTTAAGCGTTTGCAATTCCCACATTACAAACCCGCGCATGCACTTCTCAACACGCAATCGCAATTCGTCGGTTGTCTTGTCTCGCAACTGTTGCTGTGCCGCCTCTGCCTTTCTCACTATCGCTTGCGACTTAACCAGCTGCACAACAACTAACTTCAGCTGCTCTTGTAACCGTTCACATTCCGATTCGAATCTCACTTTACATTTGACCTCCAAAGATCTGACCGCTTCACAATCAGTCAATTTTTTGGCCCAATCCGTCAATTCGCCTGCATGCTTTCGGAGTACAACCACCAGGTTCGCCACTAGCTCCTCCGCGTGCTTGAATTCCTTGTCATGCTTGTCATGCGACTCAGTATAGCCATACATCATACATCGCTGACATGCTCTACTCACAACTCACACATACATACACAAGGAACGAGAGTGTCCACACACAAAGGTATCACAACTAAAAAGAGTGTCGAAACACAAACTGTACATAAAGATTCGAGCCAAACTCACTATCCTGAGGTAGAATGAGAGTCGAAGCTAGTGGAAAAACCTCTTGCGCGTAAGGCTCAACTCGAAGAACTGACAATTCTTCGAGTTCGCCTCCTATAAAACCCGAGCCCGTCGACGTCCCAACGTGTACCGCGTCCTCAAACTCAAATCAACCCAACGTCTTGAGCCATGACAGCTGTCGTGCGATTCAGTATCGTCATACATCATACATCGCTGACATGCTCTACTCACAACTCACACATACATACACAAGGAACAAGAGTGTCCACACACAAAGGTAACACAACTCGCCCCCCTAGCTGGCGGTCAGGTCCCTCTAACTCCCAGGTAGCCCAATCTACAACTACATGCTATGCACCTTCGTGGGTGCGCGAACCAGTAGGCCGGGTGCTATGTCGCCCCATCGTTAGTCGCCTATCTGCAATTCATAACATGTGAAGATCAAGTCATCTACCCTCTGATGTACATCGAGGACAAACCCACCGTCCAGTAGGAACAACCTCAATAGGTGGAGTCAAGCACAACATGTGCCATCCCCTAGAACACCTATCACACACCAACATATGGGCCGCCTGATCAGCTGACCCACATAACATGCACCTCAAGCCAGCACGTACAATCGCCAAGCTTGGATCCATAGTACCATCAACGTTTGGGAGGTGGCATGGCGCACAGTTGCGCACATGATCCTTCCAAACGACACCATCACGACCCTCCAACATGAAAACTCCAGAAGGTAACACCTCTCGCACTCGCAAAATAGTGCGTCATGTCGTCACATCCAACGTAGTCGGTGCACTCTGCTATAAATAGACGTAGTCTTCCACACGGAACCTACGAATCGATGGTCGATAATTCCTCCTCGAATAGTTGCATACTGCAACGTATCCATGTGCTGAGCAATCGCAAGGTTCTCGAACGCTGCAGGCATAACTCTCCGAAAGAGCACTGCACGTTGAGAACACACTCTCACCCACATATCTGGATCATCAAGGTTCACCACCTCGCTAGACTCACGACGAATCGCTGTAGGCAAGTCTGGATCTCGGCCGTACAATAGAAAATATGGTGAAAACGAAGCCAAGGATGTCTGACGACTGAATTGATATACCATGGCCAGCCATGGTAACTGAATATCCCAGTCCCCAAAATGCTCCTTCTGTAGGCCATACTTGCGCAACGCTCTCTTCACCGTTTGTACCATCCGCTCAGCCAAACCATCCGCCTCTGGATGATCTCGGGAAGTAGTCCACTGATCAATCAGCGTCTTGTCACACAAGACCTGCAACTCACCCTGAAACTCTGTCCCCTGATCGGTCAACACCTTAGCTGATGCACCAAAGTGACTAAGCACCCTGTCAAGGAAAGCATATGCTACTCCCTCACTCGCCTTGTCAGGTAATGCCACCAACTCAATTCACTTGAAATGCTCCACCATCACCAACACATACCGATGATGTCGTGCAGTCAAAGGTAGTGCTCCAGCAAAGTCCAAACTCCAACGGTAACCCAATTCCATGATAGGTAAGAGATGTAACTCTGGTGTCGAGGCATTGAACGATGCCCTCACTCGATCACAAACTATGCAACGTGATACCAACTGCTGTACCTACGTATGCATACCACGCCACCAATACTGAGCTAGGAGTAAGCTGTACGTACGCTTCACTCCAAAATGTCCCAACTCCTCATGAGCATGCCTCACAATGCGTGCTCTCTGAGCTGGATGCGGTACTACTCGTACCCTACCGTCCTCCCACACTCGAAGAACATGTGATCCCTTCAATCGGTATCTCTTCGCCTGCTGGAGAACACGATCTCGCTCCTTGGCACCCACTATGCCTGGCACCATACTGGTCCGTAGGAACTCCAACACCAACGCATCATCGTGAACATCACTTTGGTCCATGCCACCATCCTCAACCTCAGGATCCGAAGACTAACTATCTACACTCTGACTAGAGTAAGATGTCAACTAGTACTAACTATTAGAGGCTCCACGTAACAAACACATGAAGGCAGATGCATGCCAACCGGGCACCATCTCCTCATCAATCTCTTTATGCCATCTAGCTCCAATGTCATCCTCCTGGCTAGTGCATGGATTCCGACTCAAACCGTCGGCATCCAAGTTCGCAACTCCAGGCCTATGCATCACCTGAAAGTCGTATTCCTGTAAGATGAGAGCCCACCGTGCAAGCTTCCCTGTGAGCTTGTCACACTCCATCAACTACTTGAGCGGTTGATGATCGGTAACAAGGGTAAACTACATACCAAACAAGTAACACCTGAAGTGTGCCACAGCCCACACAGCTGCCAAACACTCTCCCTTGTACGAACTATACCGCGACTCTGCTACATTGTTCGAACGACTAGCGTACGCAATCACAAACTCCTTGCCCTCATCATCACACTGCGTGAACACCGCTCCAAGTCCCAACATACTCCAATCAGTGTGCAACTGGTATGGACGACCTCTGATAGGTCTCCTCAAGATAGGAGCGGCCACCAACCTGGCCTTGAGCTCAACAAAAGCTCTCTCCTGCTCATCTCTCCATTGCCACTCCTGATCCGACTTCAGCAACTGGTTCAAAGGCTTTGCTATAGCACTGAATCCCTTCACATACCTCCGGTAATAGTTCGCCAAACCCATGAATGCACGAACCCTACTCACATCCGCCGGACGAGGAATGCGCACAATAGCCTCCACCTTTGCCTGCTGAACTCCCAAACCACCTGGGTAGATCACATGACCCAAGTACTCCACTTTCTCCTGGAAGAACCTACACTTCCCAGGATGTAACCACAGACCATGAGCCCTCAATCGCTCAAGCACAATCTGCAAATGTATCTGGTGTTGCTCCACCGTGTCGCTAAACACCAAGATATCATCCATGTAACATCTGACGAAATCTAGCCCCGCTAGAATCCTGTCCATCACTCTCTGGAACTCGGCAGGTGCATTCTTCAACCCAAAGGGTAAAAATCGCCACTGATACAAACAATCATTGCCGTGGGAGTTGACATCCCAAAACGTTGTCTTGGCCTTGTCCTCCTCCCGAATCGGCAACTGATGGTATCCCGCCTGAAGATCCAAAGTACTAAAAATCCTCGCATGTCCCATCACATCGAAGATCTCCTCAGGTGTAGGCATGGCATACTTATCGGCCTTCATCTGCCGATTGATATGACGTTAATCTCCACACATCCGCCTATCCGTGTAGTTGCCATGTACATCCTTCTTCGCTGGCATAACAGTGGCTGAAGCATACTCACCATGCGACAACTCCACTAACCCTGCCTCCAATAACTCCAACGTCCGACTCCGAATC